TATTGTTACCCCAGTCAATGGATCAGTGAGCACGCAATTTTCATTCTCAGCTCCCTGGGGAGTATACAGCCCAACCTGCCTGTGAGGCTCTAGAAGGTAAACAGCCACATTACCGTCTCATCCTACCGGGTACCCACTCACTGCTGGGTGAACAGAGGTACATTTCGAACAAAGCCACTTGCGTAAGGAGACACCACATGTGGTACATGTGCTTCAGTGTGGGGCAGGACCGAAGCCCTAGAAACTCTCAGGAGTCAAGCTGCTTAACATGGTCACCCATCCACCTACTCTCCGTGACCGACGTTGTTTAACTTCACCTGATTTGTGACCTGTGTGCTGTGCACAGGACCAAGTTCCTTGCCAAAGACTCAAACTTTGTGCCATTAAAAGTCTGTTCTCTAAGTGGGACAGATAATCCGTAATTCATTGTACGTCATCATTCTCTAAATCATCCGGAATCCTAGCTCTTGTGATGATGATTCAAGGAATGTATATTCATATAAACAAAGGTATCAATGATTCGTTAAGTTTGAAATTTGATAATCCAGACAGTTCCACTGAAAATTCAGTCTGGATAAACAGGGTTTCATTCTCCATGTCCTTGTCAACTGGTCCCCAGGTTTGAAGGTGCGTCGCTGAGTTGCCCATGACTGGGATGAAGAACGACCATTCAATTATTCACAAGCCTCCGTGTCCATGGTGACCTGACATATTTCCTTTAAGAGATGTGATCGAAAAACCCCATCATGTGGTTTTGTCGGATCTTATAATGACAATGTCACGATTATTTGAGACCCTTCCTCCTTATCTTCATTTCTCCTGTGGTGTCACAGTCATCTAATAGTTTTAAGTAGACTTAGTCTCTTTTGGCATGTTTAGGGACCAAACTTATCTTTTATGATGGTGATGATAATTACCCTGGTCAGTGGATCAGTGTGCACCTAATTTCTACTCCCTGGGGAGTATTCAACCCAAGCAGCATGTCAGATGCTTGAAGGTATAAACATCTACATATATGTGGAGTTGGTAGTTTGACAACTGAAATACTTAGAAGAAGGGTAGGTGTGGGGGATCCCCCAACTCTGTGTCTGTCTGTCTGTCAGTCTCTCTCTCTCTCTCTCTCTCTCTCTCTCTCTTTCTCTCTCTCTCTCTCTCTCTCTCGAATAGAGTTCCTGTGGTCTTCTCCAGTGGTATTTGAATCTATGGACCCCCTGAATCTTAAACTTTTGACATTTTGGGCTGTGACAAGGACCCCTAGACTTTGATGTCGTATTTCGAACTACAATGGATATACTCCATTATATCATGCGAGTGGATATTGCTGATACATCACATGCCCTCTAGCGGCAAGTCTGTGCTCGGGTTCAAGTCTAATCATGTCAGTACAGTGTTATCAACGTCCTCATGCATCATGAGATATGAACATCTGGCAGGATATATTAGGATATCAAAACTGTTTCAAATATTTTTCACAAACACTAAGTGACTGAATTTCCAGTTATGGATGTCATTTACACATGAATGTATGATCGACTGGTACTGTGTGATTCACTGCCATATAGATCCATGCACTTATAATATAATTGTATGTGTATTGACGGCTTAAATCAATAATAAGCTGGGGTATTGATCACTGAGACAGGGGCTACCTTCACCTTCTCTCAGCGCTGACATTTGAAGTGTTTCTAGTCAATAACAGAGGTGTGACACTTTCAGTATGCACAGTGCAGGCACAGCAGTGGAAGCTGGGTCAGCTATGTACTTAAATATAAATCAGGATATAGCGAGTTAAGTAGGCCATGCTCACTATATATCATGAAATATAGTAAGTATAGTAGGCTAAATATAAATATATATCATGAAATATAGTGAGCATGGTGAGTATAGTAGGCAAAATATAAATATATATCATGAAATATAGTGAATATAGTAGGCTAAATATGAATATATATCATGAAATATAGTGAGTATAGTAGGCTAAATATGAATATATATCATGAAATATAGTGAGTATAGTAGGCTAAATATATATCTATATATGATATACAGCAAGTACAGTAGGCTAATTATGTATATTTATGTATCATATATAGTGACTTTGTGATGTAAATAATCAGGCCAGGACCAGACAATCCATGCACCTAGGTACAATGACACAGGCAGATCCAGGATTTTCATTAAAGTAGGGGTGCACATAACTCAAGTCATAAAGTGACTTGGCCGAGGGTGCTGTACAGAAGCTAACATGTAAGGTGTTTAAGAAATGTGTGTGTGATGGGTGGTTTGGGGCTACGCACCCCCTGAACCCCTCTCTCTTGATCCACCAGTGGATGGATGACACACAATCAACCAACTGTCACCAAGCCTATTATAGATTCATGGGGACCTATTTGAAACCAGAAGCCCCACCGGGAAATATATATAGTGAATAGTGATCTTCTTTGGTCATCTTCCCGAGGCACTTAGGGAGTTAACTGACTATAAAGTTCCAATTTGCCGAACTAAGCGGGAATTATGGAGTAATATTTTGGCTGGACTAACGAGTGTACCGATGTATCGTTTCACCTCTAACGACCATAACATTATATACTTTGTAATTATTATCCCCCCAGCATATAATGCGGGGGGATATAGCGATCAGCCAGTCTGTCTGTCTGTCCGTCTGTTCGTCCATAATCATTTCCTTTTCCGGGGCATGACGCGAAAATAATTCAGTGTATTTGTTCGAAACTTGGCATATCTATCAGTCACATACTGAAGTTGTGCCTTTTGCTATTTAGGAATTTTATAAATTTTTATTTTTTACGTTTCCATGGTAACAAGTTGGACTTAGGTTCTATAAGGGTGGTGTTCGTTTCCGGAGCGTAACTCAAAAACCATCAAATACTTTCTTGCAAAACTTTGCATGTCTACCAGGCACATACTGAATTGGTGCCTTTTGCTATTTAGGAATTTTTTATATATTTTTTTTTACGTTTCCATGGCAACCAGTTGGGCTTAGGTTCTATAGGGTAGAGTTCGTTTCCGGAGCATAACTCAAAACCCATTCAAAACTTTCTTACAAAACTTTGCATGTCTATCAGACTCATGCTGAACTGATGCCTTTTGCTATTTAGGAATTTTAGAAATTTTTATGTATTACGTTTACATGGCAACAAGTTGGACTTAGGTTCTATAAGGGTGGTGTTCGTTTCCGGAGCGTAACTCAAAAACTGTTAAATACTTTCTTACAAAACTTTGCATGTCTACCAGGCACATACTGAACTGGTGCCTTTTGCTATTTTGGAATTTTTTTATTTTATTTTTTTACGTTTCCATGGCAACAAGTTGGATTTAAGTTTTCATATAGGGTGGGTTCACTTATGGAGTATAACAAGTAAACTGTTAAATATTTCCTTGCCAAACATTGCATGTCCATATATAAAGTACATACTGAACAGGTGCCATTTGATATTAAGGAGTTTTAGAAATGTTTATTTTAGAATTTCCATTGCAGCTATTTTGACATGGGCTAAGAGAAATGTTGGGTCAGTTACCTGGTTTGGGACCATAACGTGTTAAAATGGGTGGGGGATATAGATGACGTCGTTGACTATACGCTTGTTTCTTGTAATTTGTCATTTGTTTATATAAAAAAAACCCCACAGAAACACACGTTTTACTTTCCATTTCACATGGATGCGACCATGGTGGATCTTTTGTTGGTAAACAATGTATGCTTCTTAAAGAACATTCAACTCTTTACTCATTATGTACAGCATGTACAGAATTGCACATTTACTTGTGGTTACTTTACAGACAGCTGCTGGGGGGATATGTCATCTTTCTGATGACTCTTGTCTAGATATGTGGAGATGTGATCACATGGTAACCGGATGTCATTGTTGATATATAAAAAATAATAATATGATTAAAAGATAATTGCTAGTTCAATTTGGCACTGATGTCTTACAACTGATAGTTTGATCGATCATTACATCCTAATATACAGCCTAGGACCTTACATAGGTCTTCACATAGGCCCATAGCTAATCTGTTATTGCAGGTCATCAAGAAAAATTTTTGACAGTTTATTTCTGTACCAAAAAGTATTTTTTCTGATAATACAGATGTTAAAATGTGTAAACATGTAATGACTGCTACAGGCACAGGTGTTCATTCCTTCTTTATTAACAGGGCGATTATTGATGTGCATCGACCTCGCAAATTACTGGGCACTCTCTTTGTCATATTGAATATCACATCCATATATAATGTGTATGAAGCTGATTTGCGCTAATATTAGGACAGACATTGAAAAGATTGTAAACGAGAAAACAAAAAATACCATCAAAACTGTTGGATTTGGTAATTTTTATAACACGTAAATCAATATATCACCGAAATAAAAATATATTCAATTGAATTTGATTTGGAAAAAAAATTAGTCAAACGTGTTAGGATGAGGATTATGGGCTTCTTGAATACATGGATTTGCAAGTAAATTTGTCAGTTGCTGAAGAAAAATCATAACATTGGTCACCATCTTCATCGTACTGTAGATTGTACATGGTCAATAAGAAAAGAAATATTTCCCAGCAGACAAATAAAGTGGAATTGCAGATCTTGAATCAAATGTGTTAGCCTAGCTAGTTCTCTGTGATAGATGGAATTGAAAGTAAAGATTCTGTACATGCTGTAAGGGAAAACAAACAAAGCTGTCATAATGCTTTTAGTTTAGTAGACATGTAAGGTAAATGTTTTTATTATATGGACTTCTACCAGCTAGACTACAGAACTGCAGGTTTGACAAACTGAAATCCTGTCTCAAGCCCTGATGAGTCAAATGTAACACACTGTTACACACACACTATTTTCTGATGCAAACTATGTTACGAGCTGTACAGTACAGTGCAAAAACAACCTTCAGATGAAGTTAAACTCCACCTTTGTAGGCCTTATGATCTTTTAATCTGTCTGTGTTATCGGAAGATGTAAAATGTCAACTTGTTTATTTTCAGCTCACTTCCGCACCATGCCTCTCCCGTCCTCCGGCCTGGTCTCCATCATGCAGATGTTCTGTGAGAATGGACACACGGATGAACACGGCTTCTTGGACTTCCCCAGCTCGAGGTGAGAATCTCTGTAGTAGAGTCACTTCTATAAGACTGGGGCTGTACACAAAGTCAAGATACGCTTCCGTGTCATCATAAATGTAGTGAGGTCACGGTACGATATGTATCATGATGTCCCGAGATGATTCTTATGATAGCGAGGTCACAATAGATACATATCACTACAGTGAGGTCACGATACGATATGTATCATGATGTCCCGAGATGATACTTATGATAGCGAGGTCACGTATAAATACATATCACTACAGTGAGGACACGATACAATACATATCACTACAGTGAGGTCAAGATAGATACATATCACTACAGTGAGGTCATGATAGATACACATCACTACAGTGAGGTCACGATACAATACATATCACTACAGTGAGGTCAAGATAGATACATATCACTACAGTGAGGACAAGATAGATACATATCACTACAGTGAGGTCACGATAGATACATATCACTACAGTGAGGACACGATAGATACATATCACTACAGTGAGGTCATGATAGATACATATCACTACAGTGAGGTCACGATACAATACATATCACTACAGTGAGGTCACAATACAATACATATCACTACAGTGAGGTCATGATAGATACATATCACTACAGTGAGGACAAGATAGATACATATCACTACAGTGAGGTCACGATACAATACATAACACTACAGTGAGGTCATGAATGATACATATCACTACAGTGAGGTCATGATAGATACATATCACAACAGTGAGGTCATGATAGATACATATCACAACAGTGAGGTCATGATAGATACATATCACTACAGTGAGGTCATGATAGATACATATCACTACAGTGAGGACATGATAGATACATATCACAACAGTGAGGTCATGATAGATACATATCACTACAGTGAGGACAAGATAGATACATATCACTACAGTGAGGTCACGATACAATACATAACACTACAGTGAGGTCATGAATGATACATATCACTACAGTGAGGTCACGAATGATACGTATAACTAAAGTGAGGACAAGATAGATACATATCACTACAGTGAGGTCATGATAGATACATATCACTACATTGAGGTCATGATAGATACATATCACTACAGTGAGGTCACGAATGATACATATAACTAAAGTGAGGACAAGGGATACATATCACTACAGTGAGGTCATGATAGATACATATCACTACAGTGAGGTCACGATACAATACATATCACTACAGTGAGGTCACGAATGATACATATCACTACAGCGAGGTCACGAATGATACATATCACTTCAGTGAGGTCCCGATACAATACATATCACCACAGTGGACACGATAGATACATATCACTACAGTGAGGTCATGATAGATACATATCACTACAGTGAGGTCATGATAGATACATATCACTACAGTGAGGTAAGATATGATACATTTCACTACAGTGAGGTCACAATACAATACATATCACCACAGTGGACACGATAGATACATATCACTACACTGAGGTCATGATCAATACATATCAATACAGTGAGGTCTCAATAGATACATATCACCATTGTAAGGTCTCGATAGATACATATCACCATTGTAAGGTCACAATACAATACATATCACTACAGTGAGGTCATGATAGATACATATCACTACAGTGAGGTCATGATAGATACATATCACCATTGTGAGGTCACGTATAAATACATATCACTACAGTGAGGACACAATACAATACATATCACTACAGTGTGGACATGATAGATACATATTACTACAGTGAGGTCACGATAGATACATATCACTACAGTGAGGACATTATAGATACGTATCACGACAGTGAGGACACGATAGATACATATCACTACAGTGAGGTAACGATACAATACATAACACTACAGTGAGGACAAGATAGATACATACCACTACAGTGAGGTCATGATAGATACATATCACTACAGTGAGGTCCCGATACAATACATATCACCACAGTGGACACTATAGATACATATCACTACACTGAGGTCATGATCAATACATATCACCACAGTGAGGTCTCAATAGATACATATCACCATTGTAAGGTCACGATACAATACATATCACTATAGTGAGGTCACGATAGATACATATCACTATAGTGAGGTCATGATTTGATATTGCTCACTGTAGTCAGGTCACTATACAATACATATCATGATATGTCATGGTCAGATATGTGTCATGATACTGAAAGAAAGATCCATAGTTGATACAATCTGATGATGACAGCTAAATGTAAATAAAATGATCACACTTCCATGTCATACCTCCATCTGACTGGTTCACATGATCTTGATAAATACTATGTATCCCACCTTGGTGGGGAATAAATATCTCAGCGGGTGAATAAATCCCTTATACCCCACCATGAATAAGTCAGGCTGCACATTGATTTCTGAGAGGCAGAATAAATCTTTTGTACCCTGCTTCAAAGCAAGAAGCCACACACTTTTTCCGAGTCACTGTAGGTCATGTGACATAGTGCAAGTTAACCTCAGCTCAATCGAACATTTTGAAATTGTTTTAATTCTCTTACAATGTCATATTAAAAGTTCATTAAGTTCATTGTAACAGGATCACTAGGGATACATGGGGTTTTATGAGTCCCTCGTTAGGTTTTATACCACTCGCCTCCGGCTCATGGTATAACACCAAATGCAGGAAGCATAAAACCACATGTATCCCTTGTGATACTGCTGCAACTTATAACGTCTTTTGTCCAGGTGTCACTTTCTTTTGTAGAAGTAATCATGGATTCTCTATTCTAGCTCCACCACGTCCGTCCTTAAACGGCTACAGGTGTTGGCAGAGAATCGCAATTTCTTCGACCCAGGTTTCACTCCTGAAGAAATGAACCAGATACCAGACCTGTACAAGAGCATCATAGATGACCCAGCATTTCTACATGACCAGTTTAAAAATGCCTCTGGTAAGATTTTACCTTTGTCTTACCTTACATGTCAATTATCGATATTTATTGGAGTGTAAAAATGGAAATACCAAACCATATTCAAGCTTCTTATAGAGAAATCTATATCAACTTTGCCTTTGGATGTTCATAGTACCCAGATACACAGAGCAGAAACAAAAACAAAGTGTTTTCTGGTGGCAGTATGACAACAAACACTTCACATCACCATCTGTTTTCAAATCTTAGTAATGATAAAAAACGTCCCTTGGGCACGCCTTATGTTTCTAGGTTTGTCAGCACCATACCCGTGCTCGTGGGTTTCACCGAAGTGGTAAACGTATGAGACCTGCATCACCTTGGGCTTTCCTCCCACATTAGGCTGACACGCCGTGATATAACTGGAATACTGTTAAAAGCGGCGTTAAACCCAACTCACTCACTAGTAATGGTTAAACATGGCAATAACTTTGTGTTGGGCTTATCCCTTGCGAGTGTTGGGCTTATCCCTTGAGAGTGTTGGGCTTATCCCTTGAGAGTGTTGGGCTTATCCCTTGGAAAATACCATGTGCTGTAGCCTCTGTGTGACTGCAGGTGTCCCCGAGCCTACACACCCACAGACTTGCTTGTTTTCCAGATTTTTTACAAAGGGCAGGTAACTCTAACCTGTTTACCCCCAGAACAAGTCATGCTTTACATGATGCCTTGTGTCTGTGCAGATTGAATGTATTGTGTATTGGGGTGGGGAAGTTTATGAGATCTTTTGGGCTTGTCAAGTTCAGGTTGGACTTCACGCTACTGAACTTCTATGAATCTTGGTAATAAAAAGCATTTTGTTACTGGAAACATCTACGGTTTTCCTCCAGATTATGAAGATTGTACTGTTTGAGTCAGTGTTGGTGGATGATACAAGTGAGCTTGTCAAAATGATGAAAAGTGCAATTTTTAGCCAAACCAACGACTAGAAGTATAATACTTTTTTCTCTGCTGCCTAACATGACTAAAGATTAACTAGCCCGTTAGCAGAATGTACAGGATTTTATGAGCTAAGTGGCCTTGTACATAAATGCTCACTCAACACATTAAGTCCTGTCAGAGTTTTCTGCGTCTTTAAAAAAATTGACATTTGTAGTGGGCCAAAAAGGTCACCCTTATCCTATCTCATCCTTTAGTATTAGATGTCATAATGATGCTTTTAGCGTTTAGCAATCTCTACGACTACGGTGTGGAGTCTTCTACTTATGAGTCTTAAGTTGCCAGGTTGATTTTCAGTATTATCTGAAATACTGTATTAACCAAATTGATACTGTATTGCAAGTATTAATTCTGAATTTTATTTATGCAAACTTTTTTCTTTCAAAATAATTGTCTTGTCAAAATGTCATTGACTCTTAAAACAGCAATGATGTGGGACCAGTCAATAACTGCAATGGAAGGTGCCCAAATCTTTAGATGGAAATAAGTTTAATTAAATTTCATGTCAAGAAAATGTAATTTGTTAATGAGGATGGTGCAAGAAGGACCGACAACCTTGAATGTATTATTTTATCTTAATTTTTAATTGGAATCCTTTGTAAAATGTCAAAATTTCATTTTATCTTGAAAACTGAAATAAATTACTATGATATTGTTGAGAGACCTGATTCCCATGATTATATTATTTTATTCTTATATGTTTTGTAGATTTTGAGATCTCCCAGGTGCTCCCCAGCGTCAAGGGTCTGGTATCATTCCTCCACAATAACCTCTCTCTGCCCAAAGAGGATATCGACACACTGCTAAACTCAACCGTTCACGTCCAGGGAGTAAGTACTGATGCTACATCGCATTACCAAATATGTGAAACTCGCTCCTCTTTACTCTGCCTTTCTTGTCAATATCGACAACTTGACTGTTCACGTCTAGGAAGTAGCTACTGATGCTGTGTTTCACTTCTGTCCTTGAAGTACTGACCCGTGAAGATCGGGGGTAGAATAGATCTTCAGCAACCCATGCTTGCCGTAAAAGGCGACTATGCTTGTCGTAAAAGGCGACTAACGGGATCGGGTGGTCAGGCTCGCTGACTTTGTTGATGCATGTCATCGATCCCAATTGGGTGGATCGATGTTCATGATATGATATATCACTGGATTGTCTGGTCCAGACTCGATTATTTACAGACCGCCGTCATATAGCTGGAATATTGCTGAGTGCGGCGTTAAACAACAAACCAAACAACCTTGAAGTACTTGCTCCTCTTTGTTCTGTCTTTCTTGTCAATATCGACACGATGTTCAAATTGACTGTTCACATCTAGGCAGTACTGCCGGGACATCACCAACTGTCCTTGTGAAACTAGGTCTTTCTTTTGTCTTTCATGTCAGGCAGTGTTTTCTTTGATTTGAGATCAACAAGGAAATAGGAAGTATAGCCACTACCCCCTGCTATTGTAGTCAGGATAGGTTTGATTTAGGAAATAAAGTTTTCAATTTAGAGCTAGTTACCTGTTGATTTTACCACACTAAATTGAATGCTGAACGTGCAGTTTGTGGTTTCAAATGTTTCATTTAGAATGGTTAAATCTACTGGTTACCTAGTTCTAATTCATGTAAATTGTTAACACAGTATGTTTATCTTCTTTCTGCCATGTCAAAATTGAACACAAACTCTTTGGTGTTAGTGAAGATATTGAGTGATGTGGTCTTCAAATGAGCTGTGGTTATTGTGATTTGATACCTCTTGTTGACCAATCAAAATCAAGTAATTTCCAAACTCAAGGTAGAATCAACATTTAATGTAAACAGGAAAAAGCATGTTTTCCTTTAAATTTGTGTGTTATTAAGTTCATCTTTCCATTTTATATGTCAGTTTCGGTTTTGATGACTTGTAACTATTGTTTGGTTGTGAAAGGTCAATGTTTTCTGTAACCAGGAAACAGCCCAACTGTAAATAAAGTAATATTTATAAAATATTTTGTTTTTAAAGGGGTACTTCTTGTTAAAAAGGGCTATAGTCTCGGGCCAATTTCCCTTTGTGGCAAGTTAGATTCAAGTCATGAAACAACATACATTTTGTCCATCGCAAAGGTTATCATCTATACCAGTTAAGGTATAACTTCACATTTACACTGAGACAATGCAGGTTTTTTTTCTAGGGTTCCAAACTAAGTGCCCTTCTTCGCAGGCAAATTGAGAAAAATCTTTATGTTGTTCAAAATTTGAAATTTTGTAAAAGTTCTTATGTTCTTAATTTCAGATGTATTTTATCATGTTTAAAATAGCATTCAATGCATTAACGTCAATATAAGCATTTAAGCCTCTTTCTTTTTATTGGTTCTGATATCGGTAAAATGAAGGTCCCTGCCAAATATCAGCCTTCCCCAGATAAATCCCTGCAATATCTTAGTTTCAACTGTGGCATGTAGATTGTAACAGTGATAATGATGGAGAAGGATGATGATGATGATGATGATGATGATGTTGTTGTGGTGCATGATGATGATGTGGATGATGATGACGACAATGACCATCATCATCATCATCATCATCATCATCATCATGATGAAGCATTTCTGAAGTATGAAGATGAAATAGATGTTATGTGTGTAACATGCTGACAGTGACCCTGCCTCCGTTCCCAGGTGTACAAGTACCTGTTCGGAGATGACATGGTGTACATGCAGGACACCTTGAACCGCCAGAAACGGAGCGCCGACGCAGGACCAATGCAAGACATTCTCCAGTCACTGTCTGGAGAAACGGGTGGCTTGAGACTTCCCTGGAAAGACACTGGACAGGGAATACTGAAGAAGGGAGTTGAAGGCATTGTTGAAGACATCCTGGAGAGGTCTGCCAGTGGCAATATTGATAATCTGGAGACGCAGATATTTGAGAAGATAATGAGTAACCCTAAGCTCCTGGAGGGTCAGAACATGGCAGTGGTGATCGAGGCGTTGATCAGTATTGTCGAACGTCTCAACACGTCCTTCATCGTTAGCCCTGATCAGATGGCCCAGCTGCTGAAGGTGAGGTTGAGATGTTTAGATGGTGATATGGTCATAATTAGTGATTATTTCATTACAGCCCCATTTACAGCAATGTTACGCTATTTCCCAAGTGGCATCATAAGGCTCATTGTATGATAAAAGTTTTGAAGACTATTCCATTTTTACCTCACTACCTCCACCTCACAAAACAAACATCCAGAGTTGCTGATTTATCAGCGCCACTACAGTGTCTGTGTGTTCACCAAAGTTGGAAGACCCGTGAAGATCCGGGGTAGAATAGGTCTTCAGCAACCCATGCTTGCCGTAAAAGGCGACTATGCTTGTCGTAAAAAGCGACTAACAGGATTGGGTGGTCAGGCTCGCTGACTTGGTTGATGCATGTCATCGATCCCAATTGTGCGGATTGATGCTCATGATATTAATCACTGGATTGTCTGGTCCAGACTCGATTATTTACAGACCGCCGTCATATAGCTGGAATATTGCTGAGTGCAGTGTTAAACAACAAACCAAACAAACCAAACAAACAAACAAAAACCAAAGTTGTAAACATCTAAGACCTCAGCTTTGCTCAGACATGAAGCTGACAGGCAGTGAAATAACAGAAAACAGTGTTCCAAGAGGTGTTAAACCCAACTCACTCACTCATGTTTCAGATGGAGGTCTTCTCACCCTCGTCCTTGAGAAAACTGTCATGTGACCCTACACTGCTTGTAAACCTCTTCATTCCTGAGACCCACAACGAGTCACTGGTGAGTCACTGAGATCTGAAGAGATCTCCTGAAATAATAACAATAGCATGGTTTAGGGTATTCTTCAAGGGATAAACTGTGGCATGACCAACTGATAACAAAGGTGGGAGACTACTATTGGCTTGATGGATGTAAGGGACCAGTCATTTATTATAAGGGTGGATGGGTCAGAGGGAAACAGGAGGGTCACCCCAAAATATCTCAAGGGTAGGACCATAAAAAATAATATGCATCTTTTGGGAGGGTCATGAAAAAAGGGACAGTGTATAATATAATATAAAGTGCTTTTGTATTTCATCTTTTTGGGGAGGGTCATGAAATAAATGTACAAGGACACGGGGAGGGTCATCAGCAATATGACAAGCATTAGGGGAGGGTAATTATTTTCACTGTATTTCAGTACTTTAGTGCATCAAAAACCTCTGACCCATCTCCACTTTAATAAATGACCAGACCCTAGATAATGGAGACGATTGGCATTTCATGAAAATTCCAGGTCACTTTGAACATGGTTATGAAAACAAGTTGTTGGATATTTGATTTGATTTAGACATAATTTATTGATGAAATTAACAGGATTGGACATAAAGGTAACTTACTGGGTCCTGTCATTATTTTCTGGGCTTTGGAATCTGCTGTAAAATACCAAAGATGAGATTTGGATGTTGACATAAACATATCTGATGAATGTAGCAGAGTTGATCTGATGCTGACACTGATCACCTGTTCCAGATTCACCTCCAGAAGGACCTGTGCAACATGACGTCTGCTCAGTTCCAGGACTTGTCAGCCTACCTGCGCAGTTCCGTCACAGACCAGGATATTGTCAACATGGTGAGACAGATGTTGTAACATCACTATGATGAGACAGATGTAACATCACCATGGTGAGACAGATGTAACATCACCATGATGACACAGATGTAACATCACCATGGTGAGACAGATGTAACATCACCATGATGACACAGATGTAACATCACCATGGTGAGACAGATGTAACATCACCATGGTGAGACAGATGTAACATCACCATGATGACACAGATGTAACATCACCATGATGACACAGATGTAACATCACCATGGTGAGACAGATGTAACATCACCATGGTGAGACAGATGTAACATCACCATGATGACACAGATGTAACATCACCATGATGACACAGATGTAACATCACTATTGTGAGACAGATGTACCATCACCATGATGACACAGATGTAACATCACCATGGTGAGACAGATGTAACATCACCATGGTGAGACAGATGTAACATCACCATAATGACACAGATGTAACATCACCATGATGACACAGATGTAACATCACTATTGTGAGACAGATGTACCATCACCATGATGACACAGATGTAACATCACCATGGTGAGACAGATGTAACATCACCATGATGACACAGATGTAACATCACCATGATGACACAGATGTAACATCACTATTGTGAGACAGATGTACCATCACCATGATGACACAGATGTACCATCACCATGATGACACAGATGTAACATCACCATGATGACACAGATGTAACATCACTATTGTGAGACAGATGTAACATCACCATGATGACACAGATGTAACATCACCATGGTGAGACAGATGTAACATCACCATGATGACACAGATGTAACATCACTATTGTGAGACAGATGTACCATCACCATGATGACACAGATGTAACATCACCATGGTGAGACAGAGGTTGTCTCCACGGTGACACAGATGTAACATCACCATGGTTAGACAGATGTTTCCACCATGGTGACACAAATGTAACATCACCATGGTGATTCCGATGTAACATCACCATGGTGACAGATGTAATATCACCATGGTGAGGCAGATGTAATTGCATCACCATACACATCACCAGGATACAGCACATCTTCCACTTGCCTCATGTCTGTAGCTGTGCGATAATACAGAATCGACTAGTAGAGCTTGCAGATTAAGGTTTTGCTGCCTGACTATTCTCAACAGCGCTTGTTATAGGTACTCTCTTCATTTTGAGGTTTAAAGACCTGTCTTCAAACTGAGCCTGTAGTCTGAAATATCTGTGATGAGATGTTCCCAGGGATTGAGTAGTTAAAGCTTTTTATTATGATTTCAGTTGAACCTGAAGCCAGTGAACCTGACTTCCACAGCGTACAAGATTTCCAACTTCATCACCAAAGTAAGTTCATTGATCATCTGCTTGTGGAGCATCATGTGTGGTTTACTCAACAGAAAGTTGGCAGATCAGCTTCAAAGAATGATAAAGACTCATCGTTTGTCTCCATTATGTTGCCATGGTTGCAGTATGTCTACTACATGATACGGTGACACAAGGTATCATGGGCAGAGTTCCATGAATGGGATTCATTTGCTTTTGACATTTAGAACAACCTCGTGGGACTTACTCAACGTTAAGCACTGTGTAGATCCGGGTTAGACTTTGTCTTCAGCAATCTATGATTGTCAAAGGAGGCGATTAACAGGATTAGGTGGTCTGGCTCAATGACTTGGTTGATGCATGTCATTGTATATCCCAATAGCTTAGATTGATGCTCATGATGTCAATCCCTTTATCGTGTGGTCCAGACAAGATTATTTACAGGCCTCTGTCATATAGCTGGAATGTTGCTGAGTGCAGCATTAAGAAAAAAATAAGCAAGCAAAACTTAATTATAACAAATGTAATAATATCTATCATGACTGAAAGAGATTATATACCTGTGTGACATAAACTTCATTACTCCTGTAAGACACCAAGATTCTTGGTTAGGATAGGTCTCTACTAACCTATTCTGGTCGTAAGAGGTGACTAAATGGAATGGTTGGTCAGGACCTGTGACTTCGTTGATGGTGTGTCATCATACCCCAACAGCATGGATCGTTGCTGATAATATCAATCACTGTATTGTCTGTCCCGATTCAATTATTTACAGGCCGCTGTCATATAGCTGGGATATTGCTGAGTGCAGCATTAGACAACAAACACTCAACGCTGTTGATGGCGTGTCATTGTACCCCGACGATGGTTGTCATTGCTCATAATATCTATCACTAGTTTGGGGGCATTAAACAAAAAACAAACAAAAAATACTCTCCCTCACACACCTCTGCCTTGTGTTGGTTTACAGGTGAACAAGTTCGTCCAGTTCCACACAGAGCTGGAGATGCTGGCTAAGCTGGTGGAAATGATCCCACAGGATGCCTTCGACATTGACAACACAACTGACGCCCACCAAGGCGGGAACGAAACAACACCAGCTGCAGGCAACACCACTGATACAACGCCAACCAAGGTAGGAGGGTTATTGGTGTTGATGGTCACTCTCTGGTCACCGTCATAACAGGTCCCTTTCGTATTCAGTAGAACTTGTAAGCACTGTGTACATAAAAGTATAGTTTTTAGTATTTGGCGTAAAGCATGTACCTGCATTTATTGGTGTCTACTGTTATATACCTGCATTTAGATTTTTAATGAGAGCAGTAACATATTTTTACGACAAACGCCAACCGAAATGAATGGCTTGAACAACAAATTTTGCTTGATATTGTTGTACCTGTTAAAATCACATACTCTTCTGAAAGATATATATACCTTCACATTCCTTGTTTCAAAAGACCTTGTGTATTTTCAAAGTTACTTTGTGATAATCATATTGCCTCAAACCTTGTTTGCTGATGAATGTCAAGTAATTATGAATATTATGGAAAGTTTTTACTTATGTAATTGAAAAAGGAAAGAAAAAGATACCAAGTCTTTTTTCTTCCCTTTTTCCATTCATGAATCTGGTGCCAGATTTTTGTAAATGGCAAGGGCAGGTAACTCTAATCTTTCTTATTACAGTGGCCTTATTTCAATTCCCAATAAAACTGTAATTTCCATTCCGAAATAAAAAATGTAAAGAAGGGTTCTGTGAAAAAACGACTCCTTCACACATTGTTTTGCACAGATCCCCACAGTGAAACCAAAGGCCCAGCATCCCCAAGGCCTCCTCAAGCTGTGGTCCTTCATGCAGCAGACTGTGTGCGGCACTCCGCCCCCAACAATCCCCACAGACAAGGACGGCAACCCTGAACACCGCTCTGGTCTCGACGCCCTCAGCCTGTCATCCCGGCAACACAGGATGCTGGGAATCCTACTGCATGTCCTGTACAGCAACCCCAAGGTCCTCTATGCCCCGGCCAACACCTCTGCTGACGACGTCATGATTCAGGTGTGCAGACCATAGGGAAGGAGAATTTGTTAAACGAACTTCATTTTCTTAACTGAAAATCTCACTCACTCCTATCCGAGATCTTTTCAATGCTTATCATGATTGAGGTGGACCCATAACTTTGGTTTCTTTAAATGATTGTATGTTAAAGCATACCCGTGAAGATCCTGGGTAGTATAGGTCTTCAGCAACCCATCCTTGCCGTAAAAGGCGACTATGCTTGTCGTAACGGGATTGGGTGGTCAGGCTCGCTGACTTGGTTGATGCATGTCATTGTATCCCAATTGTTTGGATCGATACTCATGATGTCATTCACTGGATTGTGTGGTCCAGATTTGATTATTTACAGTGAGTGAGTGAGTATGATTTTACGTCGCTTTTAGCAATATTCCAGCAATATCACGGCGGGGGACACCAGAAATGGACTTCGCACATTGTACCCATGTTTAGAATCGGCGTGACGAGCTAACGCTTTAAGCACTAGGCTACCCGACTGCCCAATTATTTACAGACCACCGTCATATAGCTTGAGTATTGCTGAGTGCAGCGTTGGACAACAAACAAACAACAATTGCTTGACAGTTTAATCAGCTTGTAGATTTGTTTGTGTTGCAGGCAAATGCTTCGTTTGCATTCATTGACTTGATCAGTGACTACGCGCGGACTTGGCTGAACGTGTCTGTGGAGCTGAAGGAATACCTGGAGGAGCCTCAGACAGCCCACAACTTGGACTCCATCAGAGAGGTAGGAGCCTGTGTGTGTGTGTCTGTCTGTATGGCTGCCTGTGTAGCTGTCTGTCTGTCTGTCAGTTTGGGTGTCTGCTGTATGTCAGAGTCTGGCTGTGTGTCTGCTTGTTGCTTTCTCTGTATGGAGAGTGCTTCTATTGGTGACCACCTGGGTCGATGGACTTCACTGTGACCTGACTCGCATTGTCCCAGATGTACTGAACCCTGTGGTGATTCCAGGTTAGAATGGGTCCCAGCAACCTATTCTGGTCATAAGAGGTGGCGTAAGGGATCAGGTGACTTGTTTCCTCACAATAATAATCACTGGATTGTCTGGTCCAGACTTGGTTACAGGCCAGCTTGATAAAGTTGGAATATTGCTGAGTGTGTCATTAAACAACAAATGAACACACTGCCTGATTTATTGATGATTTCTATCATACCTGATGGCAGATTGTTCAACAAACTGTTAAAAGCAGACTTTTTGCAGACTCATATTTAATGTTCACAACAGATCAATAAAGTGAAAAGATTTGATGGATGGTCATTTTCTCTTTAAGTTGATATTCAATGTGTTTTAAAAGTTGTTTCTTCAATTTCATTGAACTATTGATAAAACCCTTTGTCACAGATATATACTCACCGCCAAAAGAAATGTGAATACCATACATGTTGCTTAATATGGATGCACAAACAAACATACTGTAATGTTGTGTAAACTGTTGGTCATAAATGCATAACACGTGACGTCATAGAGCCATGACTCGAGATGCACCGTTTGTCTTCTGCAGGAAGAGCGTGTAAAGTTTTGAAATCAAATGCAGCATACCGTGATACGAATAAAGTCACTCTGTGGTAACACTTGACTGATTGTTAGTTTTGTCATTGAGTGGTACACATTTGAAACATCTCTTCTTAGTGTACATACATCCCTAAATGTTTCTATGGTTCGCGTTTCTTTTGGCATCAACTCGGAAAATGAGCTCCTTTGACTTGTATTCCTACCTGAATTCATGTTTTTTTTCTTTTTGAAAAACAGATGCAGCATGAGCTGAAAGAACACCGTGGCATGCTGGGATGGATGTTCCAGATCCCGCAGTTGTCTCCCTTCCTTAACGAGACGGTGCCCACCAGCAAGGAGTACCTGCACTCTATCCAGGTCATCAGCAAGGCTGCTCACAGCTGGCTCACTCTGATGGATGGCATCAGTCTCAACGTGTTCCAGGGATTCGACAACGAGACAGCCATGGTCCAGTACTTCCTTAATGAAGCTTACCATGATAATGTCAGTGTGTTGGCAGGTGAGATATAATGTTATACAGCTGTACTTAATTTGCTTGTTTGTTTATTTGTTTGTTGTGTTATGCTGCACTCAGCAATATTCCAGCTATATGGCATCGGGTCTGTAAATAATCGAGTCTGGACCAGACTATCCAGTGATTGGCATCATGAGCATCGATCTACGCAATTGGGATACGATAACATGCATCAACCAAGCCAGAGAGCCTGACCAATCGATTCCGTTAGTCGCCTCTTATGACAAGCATAGTCGCCTTTTTAGGCGAATTAATTTGTTTGGTAGGACATGGTAGTCTTTTAGACAGCATAGACAATAAAACTGTCATTTAAATAAAATTGTCATTTAATCTAAAGAAAAATCGTGACAAATGACAATGAAAACCCATTGTATCCAAGTGTTGGGTAGTATGGTTATAAAACACAAAAGCTGACCCTATAAATTCAGAGACTTTGTAAAGTTATGGTTACATTGATTGGTTCAACATCTACAACATTTTCCACATAATGAATAGTCGAGGTGCCAAGACACAAAAGCGAGTGAAGTATTTTCTCACACCCCAAGTGTTTTAGCACTGCATGAAGGTGAACTTCTGAACCTCTAGTATTCTGGTTTAATTCACGTTTTTGTATTTGTTAAGGGTACATTTGACAAACACTATGAATTCATCGACTTCATAAAATTACGGAATAGCTCATAGGAAAATGTTCACTGAATACAACATTTTCCACATCAGGAATGGGCGAGGTGTAATCAGGTCACTTTTAACAGTAAAAACTGGTTTCCTTCCCAGGTGTTGTATTCGAGAACATAGGAGCAGACGGCTCCCTTCCTCCGCACATCCGCTACAAGATCCGCCAGAACGCGACCTTCACCCCAACCACGAAGTTTGTCCGCAAGCAGACGTGGTACCCAGGCCCTGGCCCAAGCAGTCACCCATACTACGAGTTCGGCTTCGTCTGGATCCAGGTAACCATAATGGATTGTTTGTGGGGGTTAAGTGGGTGAGTGAGTGAGTGAGTTTAACGCCATGTTGAAAAGTATTCCAGTTATATGATGGCGTGTCAGCTTAATGTGGGAAGAAGCTGTAAAAGTGATGCAGATCTCAGATACTTACTGCTTTTGTGAAACCCATGATCATGGGTATGGTGCTGACAAACTTGGAAACATAATCAGGTGAAATGGGATTTGAACACGCAATCATAGGTTTCTGATGGACCCAAAGGACACGATTCTGCACAGCAAATTACAGTGCCTTAGACGACATGGGGGCCACTCGTACCCCTAAGTTCATTCGATCTATCCTCTGTCATGATATTGTTAAAAGTTACCCACAGGTAGACATGAAAAATTGTTTGTTGGGGTTCATATGATCTGTTATCTGTTGATCTGTCATAATGTTGTTTATGGTTTACTGATTTTTTATCTCTTAATAATTTAATAATAAATAAAAGATCACCTGAAAATTGTTGTATGTGTTAATTGTTCACATACACTTGCCAGTTAATGTGTACAACATGTACAATACATGGCCTTCAAGGAGGAAGAAATTGGCATGTTGGAAGTATATTGCATTTCTACCTATGCCAGTGTATATGCCTGTAGATGCATCCGTGTTAATGTGGGATGTTTGTATTCCAGGACATTGTGGAGAGAGCCATCATCGATGTCCAGGTTGAGCGTGATGTGGTAGAGCCAGGGACCTACGCTCAACAGTTCCCCTACCCCTGCTTCATGTATGACCAGTAAGTGCTGTCCACAGACTTATCTTTGTACAGACTTATCCTTATACACACTTATCATCCAAAACTGGCTCCCACAGAAGATATCACTTGGGTGAGATCTAGCGATATCTACATAGTAGATATTGCTGCAATGAAATTGCATCACAATGCTTTGCAGACCATTGTGATGTCATTGGTTACCATGACGTCACAATTAAATGACACCACTAATGGATCTGCTCACTGAAGCTGTTAACAGTACTTTTTACACTCAAGACACTGCTTATTACTGTCTACAAACTGAAAAAGTTGGAAGAATGATGTAGCATGATAAATAGAGAATCTCACGCTAGTGTCTTTTGATATCAAATATATCAACACTCGTTGATAGCAGTACTTTTTACTGTGAAGCCTCAGAGTTTATCCACTTTTATCAACTCGTGTTGATATATTTGATATCAAAAGACACGAGGTTGAGATTCTCTATTCATCTTTGTTCACACATATCCTCACAGACATCCTTATACACACTTATCTATGTACAGACTTATCCTTATACACCATTTATCCTTGTACAGACTTATCCCTATACACACTTATCCCTGTTCAGACGTATCTTTATACAGACTTACCTTTGTACGCACCTACTCTCATACGTACTTATCCTTATACACACATATCCTTACAATGTACACAGGGTTTATCCCTACACATACACATCTGCACACCCCAATCTACCCACACCCACCTCCCTACCCCCACCCCACACCCACATCCCAATGCTTGTATGCTAGAATATACAAATGGTGTGTTTGCTGTTGCAGGTTTGTCTTCATGATTGAGCATGTGATGCCCCTGTGCCTGACTATATCCTGGGTGTATTCCGTGGCCATGTTGGTGCAGAGCATTGTGTATGAGAAGGAGCAGCGGCTGAAAGAGGTATGTGGCATACAGACAGAAAGCACCTGTCAAGTGTCAGGGTTAAATCTTTTCCATACAGTGTAAAGCAGTGGTGAGGTGGCCAAGTGGTTAAAGTGTTTGCTCATCACGCTGAAGGCCTTTGTTCCATTCCCCACTAGGGTTCAATGTGTGTACCCATTTCTAGTGTGCCCTGCAGTGATATGGCTGGATAGTGGTTGAAAACCATTATCGCTAACTCACTACATACAACACCCATCATGACCACTCGAAATCCCTTACCGCATGTAATTGAGAAGTCAGTTCTATCCTAATTAATAATGGTGTAACGATACGGCAATACGAGGCCTACGCTACAATACATCAATTAACAAACCATGTATCACTATACCATACAATACATTACAAGTTATATTTGTTCAACAACCAGCTTATGCACATCCTGTAGTATTTCCCGGTTGGCTATAAATAGCAGAACATTCACAGTGCCCTCTGCCCTACAATAGCCCATTTTGATCTTTAAAATTTTAAAACATATGACTCACGGTTGTGATTCACCTGCAAAAAAAAAAAATATCAACTTATGAAATAAAAGTGCTGTAATGGGATACGAATCATAACGCACCCACAGTATCGGGATATGTATCATACTGCCACCCCATCGTATCGTTACACCTCTACTAATTAAGTCATTCTAATCAGTAAGTCATGACCAAATGTCTTTGGTTGATAGATATGATAAAGGACAATCTCATTAAATTCAGATCTTAGTTCTCGCTCCCACAAAACAAAGATCTGTGGACATCCCATTACGGGTCATGTCAGAATGATCTTTCATCGGACCAATCAGAGCATCACTTACCAGATCGGGAAAGTGACAGATGGAATGTGTTTTTTAATCATGCAACCTCAAAAGATTCAACACAGGGTATTCCAAATGATGGCATTTTGGACTGAATCCATACAATCTATGTTCTTTTGTTCAGTTTTCAAATTTTAAATCAAGAATGTTTCAAAATATGTTTTGAAGCATAGTTGCAAGTTTGAAACTTGTAAAGCCGTAAAGCATGAGAAAGTTGCCTTCTGATTGGCTAATGTCGACTTCTTGTCAGTCATTCCATTTGTCAGTCAAAGTTTGCGAAAGGTCGGTCTGATGTGACCAGTAATGGAATTTCCTCAGATCTTTGTTTAGCGGTAGCGAGAACTAAGATCTGGCTTTGATGAGATTGGACAAAGAAGTACAATGTAAGTTTGTAAAGTAAGCAAACAATGAAAATGTGTTTGTATCATTTCATGATCAACATCTCTGTGTCGCCATGGTTACAGGTGATGAAGATGATGGGTATGAACAATGCTGTCCATTGGTGTGCATGGTTCTTGACGACGTTCCTGCAGATGAGCATCACAGTGGGGGTCCTCACCGCCATGTTTAAGTATGGGCGTGTTCTCGCCCACAGTGATCCCCTCGTGGTGTTTATGCTGCTGGAGGTCTATGTCATAGCCACTATATCGTTATGGTGAGTAGGAGAGGTTATGCAGCTACAGAGAATCTCGCCCGAGTGGCTTTTGATGTCACATATATCAACACAAGTCGATAATAGGGCATAAAGAGGAATTTCAAGCTTTTATCAAGGGAGTGTTGATATATTTCATGTCATGATCGCTGAACACAAAGTTTTGTGACCTTTTTGTGCCATATAAATACAAGCATTACTATTATTATTATTATTATTATCATCATCATCATCATTGTTATTAAAAGACACTTTCTCAACCGAAAGTGTCACAATCTCCTAACATTAAGGTAATAGAACTTCTGATGTACCATATTGAAATCAGAGCTCTTATGAAGTTGTCGTTACACAGTTATCTCCCTTTTTGAGATGGCTACACAGAAACTGAGCCCTCCAAACCAATGAGTTTGCTTCCAGCGCAATGGTATATTGTACAAGAGTCTTTTTATCAGAGATGACAAAATGCCATGGGGTACTGCAGATTTGAAAGCCATTTGAGTTAGTTTGAATATAATTAATGATTTAAATGTCTAGATGAATTTTCAGTTAATAATTTTCTGAACAGCATCCTCCCTGTTGACTTGATTAATTGTATATCATTCATTTAAGTCGAATAAAAAATTGAACAATTTGTATATAAAAGAAATTAATCAAAATAGGACAATCCGTAAACCAGCCATGACGCTATTTGTTCATCACTTCTATCACTGGATGTAGTTTTATTCTATTGTTTCTTTGTTCCTACAGTTTCCTGATCAGTGTGTTGTACTCCAAGGCTAAGGTGGCCGCTGCATGTGCCGGCATCATCTACTTCCTGTCTTACGTCCCCTACATGTACGTGGCCATCAAGGAGGACATTGCCGGCGACCGCATCCCGGGCTATGTCAAGTCCCTTGTGGTGGGTACTTGCTGACTTTATTATGTGTGTTGAGACCATACCATGTCAAACATTTACTCTGAGGATGCTAATACTCGGTGCTCTTTCCGATGGGGGTAATCAGAAAAGTTTGCAGGTCCTCCATGATGTTTACAAATAGGCTTCACATTTGAAACCTTTGAAATCTTGAAATCAGATTTAAAACATTAAGAGCTTAAGACAACTCTCATCCACTCACTATAACATGAAGACATGACATGTGACCTGCCTGTTTCAGTCCCTCTCCTCTACCACAGCGTTCGGCCTGGGGGCCAAGTACTTCGCGTACTATGAGGAGATGGGGGTAGGGGTACAGTGGGACAACATCTACAGGTCCCCAGTGGAGGATGATGAGTACACCCTCTTCATGGTCATCCTCATGATCATCCTCGACTCCTTCCTGTACGGACTCCTCGTCTGGTACATCGAGCATGTCTTCCCAGGTACTTGATTATTGTCATTATGGCATACAAGGTTTGGTGCTGAATGTCTCCAACTGTTATGATTGCTATACATTTCACAACCATCGTAACTCTTGTGCATTCTGACATGATCATCGTAACTCCCACACCTGACACAACTATCATAACTCCCACCCCTGACACAACCATCGTAACTCCCACACCTGACACAACCATCGTAACTCCTATACCTGACAGAACTATCATAACCCCAACACCTGATACAACCATCGTAACCCCCACAGCTGACACAACCATTGTAACTCCTACACCTGACACAACCATCGTAACTCCCACACCTGACACTCCCGTCATAACTCCCACACCTGACACAACTATCGTAACTCCCACACCTGACACAACCATCGTAACTCCGACACATGACACAACCATCGTAACTCCGACACCTGACACAACCATCGTAACTCCGACACATGACACAACCATCGTAACTCCTACACCTGACACAACCATCGTAACTCCCACACCTGACACTCCCGTCATAACTCCCACACCTGACACAACTATCGTAACTCCCACACCTGACACAACCATCGTAACTCCGACACATGACACAACCATCGTAACTCCGACACCTGACACAACCATCGTAACTCCGACACCTGACACTACCAAGGTAACTCCCACAACTGACACAACCATTGTAACCCTCACATCTGACACAACCATCAAAACTCCGACACCTGACACAACCATCGTAACTCCGACACCTGACACTACCAAGGTAACTCCCACAACTGACACAACCATTGTAACCCTCACATCTGACACAACCATCGAAACTCCCACACCTGACACAACCATCGTAACTCCGACACCTGACACTACCAAGGTAACTCCCACAACTGACACAACCATTGTAACCCTCACATCTGACACAACCATCGAAACTCCTACACCTGACACAACCATCGTAACTCAAAAACAGTGCACAACCTATTGTAACCAAGATATGTGCATGCTATGATCGTCGCTTTATACTAGTGATCAAGCTGTGGTTGACCATGATAATCTGCTGTTTCCTTCAGGATCGTATGGTCTCTCCAAGCCGTGGTACTTCCCCTTCACCAAGTCCTACTGGTGCGGCAGCCACGTCAAACACACCGACGACTGCACCAGTGTCCTAGACCTGTGTCGTCGTGGCAACGGTAGCCATGTGTCTGTCACGGAGGAGGACCAGGCGTGCGCTATGGCACAGCAGAGTGCTGGTAAGTGAGCAGGGTTTCAAAGTTTCAATTCATTTTGAATATGATTCCATTCTCTGTGCTTGAGTGAATTCAAAATAATGTATCTATCTGGACTTGACAAGTAGGTTTCAAAGAAAACCGTTAACACCTGCATGCGATCACTTACCGTATTTTCTCTATTAAGATGCTTGGCCGCCAAAACAGGCCAGCTGCCAAGTGACCCCAGGTTATACGTTCTTTCCGCAAAATAGAAACAAGGCATCTATTAGACAATTGGTCTCTAATAGTGGCCATCTGCAATTGAATAAATTGATGAAATTAATGATCCCTATCACATTAACTTACACCATCTAATGATTACTCCCTTCAGACAAGTTAGCGAGTTGCCACTGTGCCAGCATTAAACAGAATAAATGCCGAGTCAATGCTTCCATGAAATTAATAGACACTGGAACATCTAATAGAAGAAATACTGTAAAGCCCAGCAGAGATGAATATTATTTTGGCTGAAAGCACACTTTGTAATTCATGTCATTTTCGACTTCTCTATGATGATTATATGTAGAACTGATTATTGTGAATATTTACTTTTTCAAAATATAAAGTTTAACCGCTGCGTTAATAAAAACCTGTTTCATTCCAGACCAAAGTATCATGTTTGAGCAGGACCCCATCCACTTACCTGAAGGAGTGTGTATAGACAATCTCACCAAGGTAATGATCAGTATTTTAATGCAAACTTGTTTTCTTTGTCTGGTGTTGTGGGTAGCCTTGTTGCAAAGTTGTTTGCTTGTCATGCATGCAACAGGGTTCAATTTGTGAGAAAACATTTTGCCTGAAGAGCTGTTTATGACCATATGTTCTTGTGAATAATGCACATTTTTCACAGTAGAAATACACCTGTGTAGAGAGGGGTGCGTATTATGGATGCAGACAAAGTGGGCTCATTGATTTTTTACAAAACGAAAAAGCATAACATGCAACATGTCAACAAATTGGTTGTGAAATATGCCAGTTTGTTCCCTTCTTACACTATTTTGTAGTAATAACTATATTTCTGGCTTTTGGTTAATATCTTTTTTAAAAATTCATTTGTTTTTATACGGTTCCAATGTTATTTTTTCCTGTATTTTGGTCCTTAGCCTGTCAGCTCCATCACTCGGTGGAGATTCCAAGTTAGAATTGGTCCCCAGCAACCTTTTCTGGTCTCTAGAAGCACCTCGATGATTTGAGTGATGGCAGGTCAATGACCTAAACAGCGTGGATTGTTGCTTACAATATCAATCACTGGATTGTCTGGTTGATTATTTACCTGCCGTCATATAATACTGCAATAGCTTTAAACAACACGCTGTCAGTTCCATTCCCTGAGATTCACAAAGTGGCAGATTTCTGCAACCGGAACACATTCAGCCTTCCTCCATATTAATCCCTCACATAAGAATATTTGAAATCCTCTATGATATGACCAGTGATAACTTTTTGTACTCATTTCCTCAGGTATACAAGCTTGGCAAGAAGACTGCAATCAAGAACTTGTCCTTGAATTTCTATGAAGGTCAGATAACATCTTTCCTTGGACACAACGGTGCAGGGAAGACCACCACGATGTCCATCCTGACCGGCCTCATTCCCCCAACATCGGGATACGCAACAATATATGGCCTTGACATTCGCAGCGACATGGACGTCATCAGACAGAGTCTGGGCATGTGTCCTCAACACAATGTGTTGTTTGACAAGTAAGCAGACATGGGAGCATCACAAGAATCTATGAAAATGTTGATTATTCAAGTAGCTGCTCAAAGTATAAATTTACTGACATCACCATTAAATCCCACTATCTCAGGATTTGCAACTGGTGACCCACTCGAAAGGGTGATGATTTTGTGGTCTGCCTGGCCATCATTTGGTTGCATGCAGTCTGCAGTGCTATAGCTGGAGCACAAGGTGTCTGGGTTAGAATAGGTCCCTACCAGAGTCGGCTTAACTGATCAGGTGGTCAGACTGTGTGACTGGGTTTATTGGATATCATTGTACACAAACACTGCTGTTGCTGGAATACTGCTGAATGCATCATTATTAAACGAACAAACAAACAAAACTATTGCTGATTGCAGTGTTAAACTTTCCACAAATGTTGATATGAGTATAAGAATGTATTGAACAATATTTCTTGTTAAAACCCAATTCATTGGCTAATGAAATGGGGGGTTTTCATCATGTAGCCTTACTTGCCTTCCCATGCCCATTCTTTGCTTGTATTTCCCATATCAACACCTTGCTTGTATTTCCCATATCATCACCTTGCTTGTATTTCCCATATCAACACCTGTCTTGTATTTCCCAGACTGACGGTGGAGGAGCACCTGTGGTTCTATGCTCAACTGAAGGGCATGAAGTCTCCGGATATCAAGATAGAACTGGACAGGTAAACACAGATTTTCCCATTTTCTATGCTGTGAGATGTCATGTCATTAACTTCATAAGTGTAAAGCTGAAGTATAATACTCTGGTTCTGAAGGAAGATGTAGCAAATCAAAGAATGGATGACAGACAAGTCCTGGGCACCCTACAATCTCATATCAGATCTCTCTGCTTGAAGATCTGAAAAAACCCTTGTGTTAAGAAATTCAGGGATGCTTAACTGATTTCTAAGAAAAGACTTAACAGGAATTTTCTGAATTGAATATTATCGTACTATTATATTTTGTGAGTAGTTTATACACCCTGTCATATATGAGCACCATGACATCTAGAGACAGAATAGTGTATTATTGAGGAAATGTATGTGTGGGTTTTCTTTTTGTAAGATCTTCATGCAGAGAGGCATTATATCAGAGGAAAAGATCTGGAGCCAGTTTCACAAATTAATAGTAGTGCTACATACGACTGTCATTTCGCCCATTACTCAACATAGACTTGCAGTAGTTGTAGCTGTATGGCCGCATTCTGAAATGGGGCCCAGATTGTAATGAGATTGGGGGATTCGGCTTGGACTATTAAGTTTAACTATCATAAACAATGTGCCGAGATAATGGCGTTTGAGTTTATTTTTCACTGTGTGTGTTGTCAGAATGATTAAGGACCTTGACCTGCCCAACAAGCGCCACACAGTGGTAGATTCCTTGTCAGGAGGAATGCAGAGGAAGTTGTCTGTCGCCATTGCCTTCGTGGGAGGGTCAAGGACAGTGATACTGGACGAACCCACTGCAGGGATTGACCCCTACGCCAGAAGGGCCATCTGGGAACTCCTGATGCAGTATAAAGAAGGTGAGAGGGTGGGATGGATGTATTTGTGATGATGCATATTGATAAGGAGGGAGATAGGACCTATACATGCATAAAGAGGGATGCATATTGGGTGATGCATATTGATATGGATGGAGATAGGACCTATACATACTTAAAGAAGGATGCATATGGGGTGATGCATATTGATATGGATGGAGGTAGGACCTATACATGCATAAAGAAGGATACATATCGGGGGATGCATATTGATATGGATAGAGGTAGGACCTATACATGCATAAAGAAGGATGCATATGGTGTGATGCATGTTGATATGAATGGAGGTAGGACCTATACATGCATAAAGAAGGATGCATATGGGGTGATGCATATTGATATGGTTGGAGATAGGACCTATACATGCATAAAGAAGGATGCATATCGGGGGATGCATGTTGATAAGGAGGGAGGTAGGACCTATACATGCATAAAGAAGGATGCATATGGTGTGATGCATATTGATATGGATGGAGGTAGGACCTATACATGCATAAAGAAGGATGCATATGGTGTGAATCATGTTGATATGGATGGAGGTAGGACCTATACATGCATAAAGAAGGATGCATATGGTGTGAATCATGTTGATATGGATGGAGGTAGGACCTATACATGCATAAAGAAGGATGCATATGGTGTGATGCATATTGATATGGATGGAGATAGGACCTATACATGCATAAAGAAGGATGCATATGGTGTGATGCATATTGATATGGATGGAGATAGGACCTGTACATACTTGAAGAAGGATGCATATGGTGTGATGCATATTGATAAGGAGGGAAAAGGACCTATACATGCATAAAGAAGGATGCATACGGGGTGATGCATATTGATATGGATGGAGGTAAGACCTATACATGCATAAAGAAGGATACATATGGGGTGATGCATATTGATATGGATGGAGATAGGACCTATACATGCATAAAGAAGGATGCATATCGGGGGATGCATATTGATATGGATGGAGGTAGGACCTATACATGCATAAAGAAGGATGCATATCGGGTGATGCATGTTGATAAGGAGGGAGGTAGGACCTATACATGCATAAAGAAGGATGCATATGGTGTGATGCATATTGATATGGATGGAGGTAGGACCTATACATGCATAAAGAAGGATGCATATGGTGTGATGCATATTGATATGGATGGAGATAGGACCTATACATGCATAAAGAAGGATGCATATGGTGTGATGCATATTGATATGGATGGAGATAGGACCTATACATGCATAAAGAAGGATGCATATGGTGTGATGCATATTGATATGGATGGAGGTAGGACCTATACATGCATAAAGAAGGATGCATATGGTGTGATGCATGTTGATATGGATGGAGGTAGGACCTATACATGCATAAAGAAGGATGCATATTGGGTGATGCATATTGATATGGATGGAGATAGGACCTATACATGCTTAAAGAAGGATGCATATGGTGTGATGCATGTTGATAAGGAGGGAGAAAAGACCTTTACATGCTTAAAGAAGGATGCATATGGGGTGATGCATATTGATAAGGAGGGAGAAAAGACCTATACATGCATAAAGAAGGATGCATATGGTGTGATGCATATTGATATGGATGGAGGTAGGACCTATACATGCATAAAGAAGGATGCATATGGTGTGATGCATATTGATATGGATGGAGGTAGGACCTATACATGCATAAAGAAGGATGCATATCGGGTGATGCATATTGATATGGATGGAGGTAGGACCTATACATGCATAAAAAAAGATGCATATCAGGTGATGCATATTGATATGGATGGAGGTAGGACCTATACATGCATAAAAAAGGATGCATATGGGGTGATGCATATTGATATGGATGGAGGTAGGACCTATACATGCATAAAAAAGGATGCATATGGGGTGATGCATATTGATAAGGGTGGATCAGGACTAGTGGATGCATTAAGAAGGATGCATATGGGATGATGCATATTAATATCAAGAGAGATAGGACTAGTGGATGCATATGATATCAATGGATCTGTACACAATAGATGGATGCATATTGGATGGGTGGATGCATATGGGATGATGCATATTATTTGGATGAGCAAAGAGTGTTTGATGCATATTGGATTATGCATATCCTACATATAGGATCATGCATATTAAACAGTGGGCATAGGATGGGTGGATGTATGCATAGGGTACAATAACCATTGTGTGATATACTGCCACCTTTGTATTAATCACTGAGAAATTGACCTGTGAAGATCCGGGATAGAATAGGTCTTCAGAGACCCATGCTTGCCGTGAAAGGCGACTATGCTTGTTGTAAGAGGCGACTAACGGGATCGGGTGGTCAGGCTTGCTGACTTGGTTAATGCATGTCATCGATCCCAGTTGCATGGATCGATGCTCATGATATCAATCACTGGCTTGTCTGGTCCAGACTCGATTATTTACAGACCACCGTCATATAGCTGTAATATTGCTGAGTGCGGCGTAAAACAAAAACCCACCAACCAACCACTTAGAAATTATTTGGTCATCGAAAGTATAGTGATATTGTATCCATTGCTTGGTGTGTTGTGTTGCTGTGTTTTGTTGACTCAGTGTGATGAGTGTGACTGTGTTCATCAGGTCGCACCATCATCCTGTCCACACACCACATGGATGAGGCAGACATCCTTGGTGACAGGGTGGCCATCATCAACAATGGCCAGCTCAAGTGCTGTGGGTCATCCATCTTCCTGAAGAACAGCATAGGGGAGGGCTACCATCTGACCGTCGTCAAGGAGGAACCAACTGAGGACAACCAAGATGCAGGTAGGGAGAATATGTTCATTGATCTCATTCAGCAAGTCCCTGTATCAGTATTAGCTGGGAGAAAATCAGACTTGATCAGATTCAGTTGGGAGAAATTCAGACTTGATCAGATTCAGTTGGGAGAAAATCAGACTTGATCAGATTCAGTTGGGAGAAAATTCGGACTTGATCAGATTCAGTTGGGAGAAATTCGGACTTGATCAGATTCAGTTGGGAGAAAACTGGACTTGATCAGATTCAGTTGAGAGAAATTCAGACTTGATCAGATTCACTTGGGAGAAAATCAGACTTGATCAGATTCAGTTGGGAGAAAACTGGACTTGATCAGATTCAGTTGAGAGAAATTCAGACTTGATCAGATTCACTTGGGAGAAAATCAGACTTGATCAGATTCAGTTGGGAGAAAATTCGGACTTGATCAGATTCAGTTGGGAGAAATTCAGACTTGATCAGATTCACTTGGGAGAAAACTGGACTTGATCAGATTCACTTGGGAGAAAATCAGACTTGATCAGATTAAGGAAGTAGATATGTTATATCAGTATGAGTTAAGAGTCAATGTTTCTTGATCAGATTCATTGAGGGTGGGGCGGATATGTTCCTATTAGGTTTAGTTGGGTAAAATATTCCTTTGTCAGAATGAGTGGGGAGAAACTGTTCCATGTTGAGATTCACTGGATTGAAAAATGTACCTTGTTTATTCAGTTGGGAGAAAAGCTGACTTGAACAGGTTCACTTTGAGGATTTATTCAGGTTTGAGGAGAAACGTACCTTTGAGAATTGTTGCTATGTCAATAGTGCCTATAAATACAGTCAAACACCGCTATGTCAAGACAACCGTGAGTTGATTTGTCAAACTTACAGTTGTCTTGAAGTAATAGCATGGTCCCTGCATATTCCTTCTTTATTCATCATTTTCAGTTTTGTCGAACCATGGATAACTCAAAGTATTTACATAGCTCCCTTTCAACTTCGACACAACAGTGTTTGACTGTAGCTCTCTTACCCTGATATGCATCCTTCCACCTTTCTTCAGACACATCATGTGATGAACTAGAAGTCGAAAATACTCATCACCAGCCACCCAAGCTTGTCTCCCCTTGTAAGGAGGCGAAGGTCACAGAATTCATCCAGAAATATGTGCCAACGGTGTACTTGGTGTCCGAGTCCAAGCGGGAACTACACTACATTCTGCCATTTGAGGAAGCCAAGAAGAAGAGCTTTGAAAAGCTGTTTCAGGCCATGGATTCCGACATGGACAATGTCCACATCATCAGCTATGGTGTGAAGGATACGACCTTGGAAGAGGTTTTCTTGAAGGTCACAGAAGCTGGCTATCAGGAAGAAGAAAGTAAGTGGGAAGACGGTTCTGGTTCACTATTTAAGCATTTTAACTGAGTTGGACTGTGTTGACTTGATGAAATTAAACAGGCCTGTGTTTGCCAGGTTTTGTCATGGGCTTTCATGGTTACTCAGAACCTGGTACTACCTGGCCTTTGCTTCACAAAGAAATCTTAGGGCTAAGACTGAAGTAACTTCCAAACTTTAACATACAGTCATGATAGTTGTAGTGCTAAGATTGCTTGGTGAAATGGTACACTTGATGGGTTTTTGTTTTGGAAGGATGGCTGTCAAGTGTCGATAATATCCGCAAAGATCTTTGTAAGAATTGTTCTTCAGCAACCCATGCAGGATGAAAGAAGCGACTAATGGGATCGGGTTGTCAGGCTCGCTGACTTAGTTGATGCATGTCATCGATCCCAATTGCATGGATCGATGCTCATGATATCAATCACTGGCTTGTCTGGTCCAGACTCGATTATTTACAGACCGCCATCATATAGCTGTAATATTGCTGAGTGCAGCGTAAAACAGCAACCCATGCATGATGAAAGAAGCGACTAATGGGATTGGGTTGACAGACTGTGTGACTTGGTTGGTGCATGTCATCATATCCTAATTGCATAGATTGATGATTGTCTGGTCCAGACTTTATTATTTACAGGTCACCGTCATACAGCTGGAATATTGCTGAATGCAGCTTTAAACAACAAACAAAACAAAAGTGTGGATATTATTTAAATGCCTCACAAATGTACAGGCTTCAGATGAGTAAGTGTTTCCTCTATCTTACAGTTGATAATTCTATAATTCAGGTCGTGAGGATGAACCTGCTAAACCTCTGGAGACTTTATCTTCCGACCCATCTGGCCTGCCTGAAGATCTCCCAAGGTCCAATCTAGCCAGTCAAAACGCAGCATCTTTGTCTGACCTGCTGGACGTGGCAGATGACAGCCAATCAGAAGCAGCAATGGGTGCAACAGGCATCACCAACCCTGCAGCAGATGTCCTTGAACTTGGTGATATTGCTGCAGGAGGGGAAGAGGAGCCGGCACAGAGCAGACGGCCAGAACATCCATCTGTGAGGAACATTGGGGTCTACAATGCTCCAGGTCAGTTCTGTCAAGACTGGTTTCAGTGCCAGTATTGTGAGCTCATGTTTGTACCAGAGACTTTATATCTGGACCTAACCATCTTATATTACAAACTATTGACCGCACATTGTTGGCATTACTTGATGGATGTGATATCACCATTAGCTACTAATTGTTAACTTATTGTTCGCTTCATTTAAATGTAAGCACTGTCATCGTATGCAGTTATTGAGGAGTGGCATTAAAAATGCATACACTGTTAGTTGTAAGATGCTCTATCCTGTTTAACAATGTTTAGCCTTGTGAAAAAAGGTGAAAAAAAGGAATAGTCTTCTATTGTACTAATATCTTCATGAAACAAGCAGCTGTGTTCTTGTGATGTGGATCTATGGCATTAATCAAGGACTTATGCTTAAGTGTGACTATCTGAAGCATCACATAGTGATTACAGGACAGATATTGTTTCCCAAACCTGTGTTTGAAAGAGCTGATGAATTGGGTTGTCAGACCAGGTGTCTGTGTGTTACCATGCCTTAATTGTGTGTATAGTTGCTTATGCTTGCAGTCACTTGTTTGTCTGATCCAAACTAGATCAGTTCCAAAATGCTATGATGTTGCTGGAAAATTGCTGACAGTGGTACTCACTCACTCACTCACTCACTCACTCACTCGATCACTCACTCACTCACTCACTCACTCACTCACTCACTCACTCAGCTATACTTGGCTGTCACAATACATCCTTTTTAATAATGACAAGACATATATAATCTCATACTAAAGTTTCAATGCTTGCAGAAGATGAACCAAAGATCTTGCTTGAAGGTCGTGGAAGTCATATCTTGAATAAAAAGCTGCTGCTCTTCAACCACTTCCGTGCCGTCATCGTCAAACGATTCCACTACATCACTCGCAACTGGAGGAGCTTGTTCTCGCAGATCATCCTCCCTGCCATCTTTGTTGCCATAGCAATGACAGTAGCTCTAGCAGCGCCATCTGTGGATGACTTACCTCCCCTTGTACTCAGCCCATCTCAGTATTTCAATGTCACTCAGCCCAAAGGCAACTTTATTCCCTTCACAAATGAACGTATGATACGAAGATCAGAAATACCTAGCCAGGACGCTGATGCGGAGAAATTAATCCGGACACTCTTCCTCCCATCTGGGGTGGGTGCCACATGTGTGCTGCAGAAACCGTTTAATAGCTCCTTTGATGTGGACATGTTGAAGAGGTTGAACTACACCCAGAAGACGTACGAGCTCCTGTCCCGGTACTATGAGCCTGAGTGTAGGAGAGTGTTCGCTCCGGGGATTCACCTGGACAGCTACATCCCCCCAGAAGCTCCAGTGCAGCCTAAGGTTGACTTGGCCTCCGAGGATGACAACAGCACTGTAGATTTCCCTATAGGTCAGTGTTATTCTACAGACAGTCAATTTGCAGTTAAGTTGGAATGAGTAGGTTGGAGTTATCCCTCTTTGAACAGTTAGTACACCTGTGGGGAATGGGGTGAGGCTATAGGTGCGCAGCAATCTCAGTTGACTGTTTATATAGAAGTGTAACAATATATGGAACAATCGATGTATTGCAACTGCTGCCCAACGATTGGACTATATCAATAGGAATATCAAAACACTATTGGTATTGTTGATAATATGCATAACAATTGAAAGTTTCAAGTCACAATTAATTATAAATAAAGCATAAATTATGTGTCAGAACCATCAGTTTTTACCTTTCGAATTTCAAACCTAATATGTCCTTAGCAAGGATATCAATAACTTCAGATTAGAGTTACTTCCTTTGGTTTGAGTGGTGACAGGGAGGAAGATGGTCGACTTTGACATTGTCAGCAATACTTTATTCATTTCTATTTCATTGATTAATATCATATCAAGCCTTAAAGTTTTTTTAATACTAGTGCAATACTAATGCAATTAGGGTGGAGTACTATTGCAATACAATCACAAAAGTGAAAATAGCCCCACTAGTGACCCCTTCACAGATGCCTGCTTCAAGACATGCAATTTTATTCCCTGATCCTGTCAAGCATTGATCTGTCTGCCTTGACTTGATAATGTACACTCGCTATGACATAGCTTGATTATTGCTGACTGTTAAACACACACACTCACTCGCTGCTCTGATGTTGCAGACCCCAGCTACTCAACAACCCACTTCTACCCCCACTGCGTGTGTCGGGGAGACAAGACTGGCTTCAAGTGCAACAAGAACCATGCTGAGGCACCCAAGTTCCGGGTCGTCACCCAGGACATTCTCCAGAACATCACAGGACAGAGGACAGAGGACTTCATACTGTATACAACACAGGACTACAGACTTCACAGGTATGTCCAGATGTCTCATTGCCAGTTATTGCTGAAATGATACCCCTAAACCAGGTACTGGACGAAGTTCATCAGTTATTTAAATATTATGTTTATTTATCATTGATATCTAACATAACATCACGTTTTAGTCTTGACCATATGTATTACATGTTAACCTTCTAGGCAGATTGTTTGCATATTCCCTAGGGAGCTGAGAATTATTATTATTATTATTATTATTTGAAATGGATACTGAATAAAAGAATAATTACAAAGTTATCTACAAAACAATGCTTTAGTAGAAACAGTTTTACTGCACTTTATTGAAAAAGATTTGTTGTTATTTACGGGAATACATTTTTTGACCGACCAACTGTCTTCTTCTAGATATGGAGTTCTGTCTTTTGGTCTGGAGCAGCGCTATGTACCAGAGAACTTTGGCAGATCGGCACCCACGCTGTTCAGGAAGCTGGCAGTCCGCAGTGCCGCCAAGGTGAGTAGCAGGGGATCAAAGAGTACTGCAAGGCCACGTGGAATAATGGATGACATATATATGGAGTGAATAAATGGTGTCTGGAGCCATTGTCATCGTTCAGCCATTGACCCTTAAGGGTCACATAGTCCTTATTAGTTTTGATTTGGTTATCGTGTGAAAGAAACATGTAGGCAAATTGAAAAGTAGTGTTAGTCATTGCAATGTTTACACCAATTACATCAAAATGTTTTTATTTTAATTGAAAACTGATATGAAAAGTGCACTTGTATTGTTATATTGGGGGCATGTGTGACAAGAGAAGGTCACTGGGGATGTAATTGGGGATACCCATGGGGATGTCAGAAATAGAAATCCAATGTTTTCTTCTTTTGTTTCTTTTCTTGTCACTGCTTCAGTCTTTGTGTATTGGCACCGTGGGATAACTCTACACAGGGTAGAGTTGGTCCCAGTGGTCACATTCTTCCTATAAGAGGCAGCTGAATGGATGCTTGGCCAGACTCAGGTTGATTGCATGTCAGTACCTGTATGGCTTCGTCTGTTGCTCATAATATCAATCACTGGTTTGTCTGATCAGGATTTGAATAAGGCTGGATTATTACTGACTTTGGTGTTAAAGAACATTCATTCCATTCACAGTCATTTGTCATTTGTCATTGTGGTGTACTTGCAGCTGTGGTTCAACAACAAGGGCTACCACTCCATGGCCGTCTACCTAAACACCATCAACAACGCAATACTGAGAGCCAACCTGCCTAAAAGCAAGGGCAACCCTGCAGCTTTTGGTAAGATCCAGAATTAGATTGTTACCCGGGGGTATGTTCGTTTCAAGGCGTCAACAGCGGTAATCTGACTGTTTGCTGTTAATAACCGTGAGTTGTGCAATCTACCGATGTCTTTCCTTACACACAATTTCACCAAAATGAATGTAAACTTTTGAAAAAATAAAATGAAATAGGTTACAAATAAAGTCCATTCATATGTCCAGATATACAATGAACACTTTTTATAACCAGACAGTGTAATTACCAGATTATTTTGCGTACTTCAGTACGTCTTTTTGACATAGTATTTCCAGTGTTACGTGCTCATGGTAATGTCTTTGTGTTGGGTGCAAAATATCATCAAAACTTTTCTACCCTGTACACCCTGTTGGCGACCCACCTTGAAATCCCCCTGTATTCTAGGCACGAAAGACTCGCCTTATACACGGCTATATACAGTATGTTGTGTTTCGTCATCCATATGCTGATGGACAAAACAAACATATTTGCTCTAAAGTGGCTGTAGTAACCATACAGGCAGGGTTGAAATGGATTACAACTTCTTTATTCTTCTAATGCTATGTTTCAGTACAGGTGATAGTACCTTTATCAAACAAGTGTTGAAATTTGTGTTAACCTTGTCCTCATGAAATACTACTAGTTACAGAAAATTTATTTTCTGCTTCAGGCATTACAGCCATCAACCACCCCTGGAATGACACCAATAATGAGATGTCTACGGTCAACTATATGTAAGTAGGCTGAGTGTTTTGAGTATAGCGGGGCATGGGTCATCCAGTTGTCTTTGTCACTGCAATTTGCTGTCCAAGTTGGAGTTGCCATCCTCAGGCGTGCCAGAAACTTTTTATTGTGAGTTTGAAACCCAGTTTCGCCCTGATTATGTTTCTGGGTTTCATCACCAAAATCGCGCTTGTGTGTTATCTCCCAAGTGGGAAACGTGTAAGACCAGGGCCCCATTCCACAAAGTGATCGTAGTGCTACAACATGTGTAAGTCTATGTTAAAGTATGGGAGTTACGATCACCTTAGTGCTACGATCACTTAGTGGAACGGACCCCTGCAAAACGGCAGGTTTTCCTCCCACATTAGGCTGAAGGAATGATAAAAAGCGGTAAGCTTCAATCATTATAATTGCAGCTTGTTATATAAGTATTCTTGTTCCAGGATGGAGGGGTCCGACGTCCTGATCGCCATCTTCATTATTGTGGCCATGTCCTTTGTGCCGGCTAGTTTTGTGGTGTTCCTGGTGTATGAGAAGTCCACCAAGGCCAAACATCTCCAGTTTGTCACCGGGATCAACCCTGTCATGTACTGGCTCGGGAACTATGTCTGGGATATGGTCAGTACATATTTGTTTTGGAATCATTCTTCCAACCTAGCTATCGTTGATTATAATCTGTTGTTCCTTTTTGTCTGTAATTTCGAGAAAGTTAAACTTAACTTACTCACGCCTATTCCAGGCCAACTACACAATCCCTGCCTTCATGTGTGTGATGGTGCTGCTGATATTCCAAATACCTGCGTATGTGTCGACCAGCAACCTCCCTGCTGTCGTGGCTCTCTTCCTCATGTATGGGTAAGTAGCTGTACCTTATCTCTGATGGAAGGAACAGAGTTATGTCCCTTAGCCTTCACAGGATCTGCTGGTCTTCGGTTTCAAATCCAGGAATTTGCTAATTATCCTGAATTTATAAATTAAGTATCGTTATGGCCCAGCTGTCCAAGGTGACAGGATCCACTGGTCATGGGTTCAGATTCCAGATTTCACCAAAGTGGTATACTTCTTAAACCTGCATCACATCAAACTGACACACTCTGATATAACTTAAATACTTCTTAAAGTAGTGTTAATGGTAGCTCATCCACCTAATCTGTATGCAGTGTCCCTCAAAGCAACCTGACCCGTGAAGATCCAGGGTAGAATAGGTCTTCAGCAACCCATGCTTGACGGGATTGGCTCTCTGATTTGGTTGATGTAGGTCATCGTATCCCAAATGCATAGATCGATGCTCATGATGTCAATCACTGGATTGTCTTGCTCAATTATTTACAGATCACCGTCATATAGCTGGAATATTGCTGAGTGCAGCTATAAACAACAAACAAACAAAATCAAAGCAGCCCTAGTACTGCGACTATTGAAGCTCCAAAGACAGACAACAGTCATGCTGTGTGATGTGTCTACCAACTGTCAGAACTCCTGCTGCTGTATTCTAACACAAACTATCCATAGTCATTGCACTAAGACTGCTTTCTGAAACTAGGTCATTGATATATGCTACCAAAAGTTAAAGAGCACCCAATTTTTTCGTAGGACTACAGTTACTGTGTCATGGCTGGTGTGTATTGCAACACACAGCCTTCCAATTGTGGGAGTCTTTGACTTGTTGTGAGTAGTATATGAGTTGATAGCCAGTATTTAATGATTCTTTGTGATACATTAACCATGACATGGAGTCTTACATTAACTTCTCTCTCTCTCTTCCTGCAGATGGTCGATAACGCCTGTCATGTACCCCGCGTCCTTCCTGTTCAACGAACCCAGTACTGCCTATATCTGCTTGATAGTCATCAACCTCTTCACTGGCATCACATGCATTGTGTCCAGCTTCCTCCTTGAGCTCTTCTCCTACGACAAGGTAACACACCTACCAGACATATTGTAAGAGCGCTGTAGGGTGCTTGTTGATAATTTGAGAAGAGTTTTTTTATAATTTTTTTATGTTTTCATGACGACAAGTTGGACTTTACTGATAATGATGGTAGTGGTGAACTGATACCTTTTAATGATTTGGGATTTCGAAAAATACTGAACAGCATTATTTTTTATCTTCACTGAACTGAAGATGTCCAATGGCAGTAAACCAAACAAGGGATATAAGTAGCGAAACTCCATTTCCGAACTGCACCAGACTGGGGGGAGATGTCATCTCCTGATGACTCTTGTTTAATTAAGAGGGACTCTGAGGACCTTGAGGTTGCTTCTAGAGAACCCCTCAATCTTTAACTTTAATCTAATTTTCCTGCTTAATTTGGAACATTGTACATTGATTTTGGAACAAAATGTTTGCTCTTCGTATTGAGGTTGCCTCCCCTGTGTTTCATGATCTCGACAAGGGACATGAAAATTATCTGACAGATCTGTTGATCATGTACGAAATGTTTTGCTCTCCTTAACAATTTGTCTCCCCTGTTTTTCAGGATCTCAACAAGGTCCATGACATCCTGAAGATTATCTTCATGATGTTCCCCAACTACTGCCTGGGCCGGGGCCTCATGGACTTGGCCTTCAATGAGTACAAGAACGAGTTCTACTTTAAGACTGGTAACCATAGCATTAACCTCTTTATTAATGTTGCCTTATTTCCCTGTTGGATATTCTTGTCTTGAACCCAGTCAAAATTAATCTGGGGACGCCTGGTTACATAGGACCCAGCAACCTGTGAGTGTTGTATCTGGTGAATACATGGATCTGTGGTCAGGCTCGGGGACTTGGTTAATTGTGTGTCTCCAGCAACATGATGATGACAATGATGATGATGATTTGGTGGTAGGGTTGATGGTGATGATTGTTGTGGTGATGGTGATAATGATGCTGATGTGGTGGTGTGGGGGAGGGATGATGATGGGGGAGGGTGGTGTTGGTGTTGATGGCGCTGCTGCTGCTGCTGCTGCTGATGATGATGATGTTGGTGGTGATCGCGCTGCTACTGGTGATGATGATGATAGTGGTGTTGATGGTGCTGCTGCTGCTGGTGATGATGATGATGATGATGATGATGATGATGATTTGGTGGTAGTGTTGATGGTGATGATTGTTGTGGTGATGGTGATAATGATGCTGATGTGGTGGTGTGGGGGAGGGGTGATGATGGGGGAGGGTGGTGTTGGTGTTGGTGTTGGTGTTGATGGTGCTGCTGCTGCTGGTGATGCTGGTGATGATGATGATGATGATGATTTGGTGGTAGTGTTGATGGTGATGATTGTTGTGGTGATGGTGATAATGATGCTGATGTGGTGGTGTGGGGGAGGGGTGATGATGGGGGAGGGTGGTGTTGGTGTTGGTGTTGATGGTGCTGCTGCTGCTGGTGATGCTGGTGATGATGATGATGATGATGATGATGATGATGATGATGATGATGGTGGTGGTGTTGGTGGTGATCGCGCTGCTACTGGTGATGATGATGATGATGATAGTGGTGTTGATGGTGCTGCTGGTGATGATGATGATGATGATGATGATGATGATATGTGTTATTCAGGTCAGTACGACATGATGAAGTCCCCCATGGAGTGGAGCATCATTCCAGTACATCTGGTTGCCATGACAGTCATTGGACTCATAGCCTTCCTCATTACAATACTCTGTGAATACAAGTTCTTCATACCTGCCAGGTAGGTGGTTTGCTGACAGTCAAGTGTTATTTCAACTACACCCACATATGCCTTTGTTCTGGGATTGTGTAAGGTTCACCACTCTACAGGTAGCCAGACATTTCCTGTGTTAGAAATATTCTAAAAGCATGAGGCATGAATCTATATTCAATATTTTTGGGTGTTCTACATCTTATAATTTATCTCTGAACGTTTCCTGGTTACACAGTGTGATCCAAGTATCGTGTGATCGTATGTCTATGTTTAAGTGGAGAGTAATGAAAGCCGTAATAATAGTCATAGCAGACGCAGGACTTCAAACGTTCAGGGTTAAATGATGTGCAGCATCGTGTCCCCTTATTACACCAGGATCCGCTGTTTATGTGATAGCATACCCGATTCGCAGTTATTATGATCTTTGGTTTGTGTGACGACCATACACTTATTCATGGGTTTCACTACAGTTGTAAATGTCCAAAACCTGAGCTTTTCTTCTACATTAAGATGATATGCAGTGATACAACTGAAAAACAGTTCAAAGTGGAGTTAAAACCCAACTCCCTCTCTTTCAAACCTGCTAATAAACGATACTTTTTTATATCATTTTGTTAAATGGCAAAAATATTCATGTGGCACAATTAATATGGGCTTAGCTATGCATGTCATATTAGCATGATTAGTGTTTTAGAGAATAACCAGGTATGAGGAATTATGGATTATATTGATTTTCAGCAACTCATGCTTGTTATAAGAGGCGACTAACGGGATCGGATGGTCAAGCTCACTGACTTGGTTGATGCGTGTCATCATGACCCAAGTGCATAGATCAATGCACATGAATTGTTAGGTCCAGATTTGATTATTTACAGCTGCCGTCATATAGCTGGAATATTTCCAAGTGCGGCATTAAACTACAAACAAACAAAACAATATTGTAGTGTTACCCATTCAGAGTATAGCCTTGTTTTACAGATATGTGAAAGTGCCCAACTCCACAAATGTTGACGAAGACGTTGATGTAGCTGCAGAGAGGAAGCGGGTGCTGAAGGGGACAGGCCGTTACGACATGCTTCGACTGGAAAATCTCACCAAGGTAACATTGCAGTCCAACATCAAAATTTAATGAGGAACTGGACTCTACATGTGTTAGAAACCTAGGATCTTGGGTTCGAATCCCGGTTTGCCCTAATTATATTTCTAGGTTTGTTGGCACCATATCCATCCCTGTGGGTTTCATCAAGGTGGGAGATATCTAAGACCTGCATCACTTCGGGCTCTTCTCCCACACTTAGCTGCCACGCCATGATGTGCTTGAAATACTGTTAAAAGTGGCATTAAACCAAATTCACACAGTCCACAATCTGGAGCCCATTTTGTGTCCAGATCTACAGTTAGCAGACTGAAATACAATGACTGTCAAATGTTCTGATATGAAACCCTGTTAATTAAAGGGACACTATGATCACACAGATGTTGTAATAAGTGCCATATGTGAAATTCAGTCATTTCTAAGTGTTATATTTAACTGTTTGACTGGTCTGCATCATGATGATAAGTTAGAAAACAAACAAACTGATGTTTATAAGACTTCAATGACTACCCCTTCCAGGACGAACCATTATGGAAGTTCCTAGTAAAAATTGTAATGCGGGTGTACCTTTGGAATATTTGAAACTTTCACATAAAGGGTCCATGTCAATAAATTCTTAGTGTAAACCCTGTAACTGCATGTTGGGGTAGACTAGTAGTTAAAGTGTTCTCTTGTCATGCTGAAGGCTTGGGTTCGTTTCCCACATTGGTGAAGCCCATGGTGTCCCCTACCTTGATTTTGCTGGAATATTGTAAATCCTCACTCACTCACTCACTCACTCACTCACTCACTCACTCACTCACTCACTCACTCACTCACTCACTCACTCACTCACTCACTCACTCACTCACCCTACTACCCACCCACTCACCCACCCACCCACTCATTCTGTAGAAGGTTCTTGTGTGTTGATGCTGAAGTTGCTGATCATACTGTCATAATGCCAACTCCACTGTGTGCTTCAGGTGTACAAGACTGCCAAACTAGGGCGCCACCTGGCTGTCGACAAGCTGTGTCTGGGAGTGCCACCTGGTGAGGTATGTATCTGGAGGCTTTGACGTCATGGAAAGGTACAAAGATCCCTATCACAAGTTGAGTAGTATTAAAGCCGTGACCAGCAAATCGTGATGGCTAAGGGAACTCGACACAGCGAAAAGGGTGTTTGGCTTTCATTAGATTTAATACTACAGGTTCTTGTTTCTCTCTGTCAGTGTTTCGGCCTGCTTGGAGTGAATGGCGCTGGTAAGACAACAACCTTCAAGATGCTGACTGGTGACCTTCGACCTACATCTGGTTGTGCCTATCTTAATGGTCATAGGTAAGTAAGGACCATCACGTCCTTCTCCCATTTCCAAGGCATCAACAGTGCTACTACTTCACTGACGTCAGTTATGATTTATGGATCATAAAGATACACACACTCATTTAATCTAAATGTACATGTAGTGCTGTGATGTTATGAGCATATAACACACTCACTCATGACACTTCAGTAGTGATCCCTCTCTAGATACTATTATCATGTTATGATCCTCTGTTATATCCTCTGTAGTCCTATATTACCTCGAATATGATCTGTTATAATCTTATATTACCTTTATTGTGATCCTGTTGCCACCATCATAATCCTATATTACCTTTGTTGCGATCCCCTTTTACTTGTTATAATCCTATATTACCTTTGTTGTGATCCCCTTTTACTTCTGTTATAATCCTATATTACCTTTGTTGTGATCCCCTTTTACTTCTGTTATAATCCTATATTACCTTTGTTGTGATCCCCTTTTACTTCTGTTATAATCCTATATTACCTTTGTTGTGATCCCCTTTTACATCTGTTATAATCCTATATTACCTTTGTTGTGATCCCCTTTTACATCTGTTATAATCCTATATTAGCTTTATTGTGATCCCCTTTTACATCAGTGACTCACCTTACCTCTGTTACAATCCCATGTTACAGTGTGATCAAGGAGCTGAACAAGGTGCAACAGAGTATTGGCTACTGCCCCCAGTTTGACTCCCTCTACGATGAGCTCACTGCCAGGGAACATCTACAGTTCTACTGCAGACTCAGAGGAGTCTCGCCTAAAGATGAGAAACAGGTTGGTCAGTTATAGTATCAAGTCTACAAGGGGCATCTAAGGTATTCCTCTTTCCATAGACTGATCACAACACTTCAACTGTCTCTCACATCTACCATGCTATTAGATAGGCAGACATAGATCCCCCACCTGCCTCAGGTTGTTTGGAAGACTTAGGACTTTAATGACCAATTGTCTGGGAAAAACAACAGGCCAACACATACTGTGGAATGTCTTTTAGTCGAATAAACTGGGCCCATACACACTTCAAGGTCAACGTATGCACTTCAAGGTTAGCATACATGCACGCACTTCAAGGTCAACATACATGCAATCACCTCAAGGTCAACATACACACTTCAAGGTCAACATGTACGCACTTCATTGTCAACATACGCACTTCAAAGTCAACATACATGCACACTCTTCAAGGCCAACATTCATACACTTCAAGGTCAACATGCACTAATGGTTCATGGGAACAGGACTTGACAGAGTCTGACTTGCATCCTACAGGTTGTGAACTGGGCCCTGTCCAAGTTGGGGCTGAGCAAGTATGCAGACAAGCTATCCGGCACATACAGTGGGGGCAACAAGCGGAAGCTGTCCACAGCAATAGCTCTCATTGGACATCCTCAGGTTATATTCATGGTGAGTTGTAGACTACAGCTGATATTTGCCAGATATTTAACCATAACTTGTATAAGGAACCAAAAACATTTCTAGTTGAAAATCTTAACTTATTAATATTTTCAGAAATAAAAGATTTTTAGAAAGATGGTGGAGTTCTTTATAGTTGCAGCGGAAAACTCGCTGTGCAGAGTTGCAGCCCTTTGCCCTGACTGGATCAACTGATTATGCTTTTTCATATCAAATTCACCAGAATTATAATCCTTGGTTTCATCAACACATTATCAATGCTCATTGGTTTCACCAGATCGAGTGTTCAATGTCTACGACCCGCGCCACATGGGGCTTTTCTATCAATTTATTCTGAAATGTTTTGATATCAATTTCCATTCATCTAAAACAAAGCACTGTTCATTTCAGGATGAACCAACTACTGGTATGGACCCTCACTCACGTCGCTTTTTGTGGGATCTCATTTTGAGCCTCATCCAAGATGGCCGCTCTGTTATCTTAACCTCACACAGGTTGGTTTTACTTGTTTGTTTGTTGTTTAACGTCAATATAAAGTAGGTCAACGGTACCAGGATGATGACAGAAACTGGCTTGGGACTCATTTCCAGACAAAAACCTAGATGTTGAAATTAGAGCCTTTTGTGACATTTACAGCTGGGTTGTAGGGTAGCCTCATGGTTAAACCGTTGAGGCTACCCTACATGCTGTCATGCTGTAGGACCAGGTTCAATTCCCCACACGAGTACAATGTGTCCAGCCCATTTCTGGTGTACACTGCCATGATATTTCTGGAATATTGCTGAGTGTGGTGTGAAACAATGTTAGGACCTAGATTGATTTCCATAATAAAATGTCAGCGAAGAAAGCAAGAAACTTGGATTTTGAATGACTTGATTCAAACAGGCTAGGACAGCCTAGTGGTCAAGGCTAGTACCACTCTAGTTGTTACAGTATCATCTAATGGAGAGTGTTATTAATGTGTTATTGGATATGCAATACAATAAAAGTGATATCAGGGTCCAATAAAAGTGCAAAAAAGGTCATCAAGCATATTTTCTACTCTATATCAGCTCTTTATGTTGATGCAACGCCTACTTGCTCGATATGTTGATAATCAATTGTATTATGTTACCAGCAAGTTTAGAAATGGGTTTTCCAATGTGTGAGTGCTTTGAATTGAGAAATTGGTATTCTGATGTGTGAGTGCTTCTGTAGAAAAAACCTGGCTGCAAAAAATAATTGTTCATGATATTTTAGTGGGGCAGTTTACTCAGGCAATAGTTGCTTCCTAAAGTTAAACTCTTATTGAATGAAAATACATCATAAGCTTTAAATATTTTAAGAATGATGTTACATGAGATTATTACTGTTGAGTGATTTAGTATCACAAGGGAGCGGTCATTTATTACAGGGCTGGGTGATCAGAGGTTTTTGATGATCTGACAATAATTACCCTCCCCAAATGCTTGTCATACTTTTGGATGACTGTGCCCATGTCCAAGTGCATCTTTTGGGGTGACCTCCCCTCTCTCCCTCTGATCTATGATAAATTACCAGTCCCTCAGTATCATATCCTAAGGAATATGAATATGAACTATCCAGTAGCCTTGACTATAGTTAGTCTCAGTCAGTCACTGTCTGCTCACCTGTTGCAGCATGGAGGAGTGTGAGGTTCTCTGTACACGTCTTGCCATCATGGTCAACGGTCACTTCAAGTGTCTCGGAAGCATTCAGCATCTCAAAAACAAATATGGGGATGGATACACCTTCAGCTTCCGATTGAAAGGACCAAATTACGAACAGGCCAGTCGAGGGGTTGTACGATTTGTGGAGAGAAATATACCAGCAGCAACGCTCAAGGTAAGGCAACAGAAGTAGGACAATACGCCATGCTTCCTCTATAGTATGGTTCATATGGTTGCGGTGCAGTAGCCTAGTGGTTAAAGCATAAGCTTGTCGCACCGAAAACCTGGGTTTGATTCCCCACATGGTTACAGTTTGTGAAGCCCATAGTGGTGTCACCTGTCATGGCATTGCTGGAATATTGCTAAAAGCGACATAAAACATTACTCACTCACTCATGTTCATACGTAAGTTGGGGCGGCCGGGTAGCCTTGTGGGTAAAGCATTTGCTTATCACACCGAAGACCTGGGTTTTATCATTATTAAAGGTAAAAAATAGTTTTATTTGCTGTTTTCTTTTCATGTGTTCAGTTTACAGTTACTATTAAATACTGATGATAGTGCAAGACTTCTGTGACAAGGGAAACTATTTTCTAGAAAATGATTTATTAGGGGTATATGTAACCGGTACATGCTTGTGCATGTTTGTTGAATATAGAATATTTTTTGTTTGCTACATCTCACAAAAAACAGTTTTTGATTTTTCACTTGAAATATCACTCCAGCCATCATAAAACAATACTTCTGGTCCAGGGGTTTATCTAGAATCATTAACCAGTGCCCTTGGCAGGCAAAATGGGTGGAACAAATTTATTTTGTTTAAAATTGGTATTTTAGAAAATTCTGAGGTATTTTAATATTGCATTCAGTGCAATAATGTAAACTAGGCATTTAAGCCTATTCCACTTAAATGGTCCTGTTGACTGTGATATACAAAGCCATAGCATTAGTTATTTAACAAAAATAACATGACTTAGGAAATATTGAATTCCTATTTGGATCTTTGCTGCAGACTTGTGGTGGCATATCTGCCTCTAAGCAGGCATATATCAATTAGGGCTTGGACGATACACCAACTGTGCGATTCGATACGTATCACGATACCTTTCACATGATTGAATGTGATATGGCTGGAATGTTGTTTGTTACAACACACTCACCCATGTTGTAGACACTGATGGAGGATGACCTCTGTTTCAGGAGCAGCACTTCAACCTGCTCCAGTATGAGCTGCAGTCAGAGAGTGTGTCCCTGGCCCACCTCTTCTCCACCCTGGAGCTGGCCCAGCAAGACCTGCATATAGAGGACTACTCCGTCAGCCAGAACACCCTGGATAATGTAAGTCAGTCAGAACACCCTGGATAGTGTGATACAGTGAGAACACCCTGGAAAGTGTGAGATAGTCAGAACACCCTGGAGTGTGTGAGATAGTCAGAATGCACTGGATAGTGTGAGATAGTCAGAACACACTGGATAGTGTGAGATAGTCAGAACACACTGGATAGTGTGAGATAGTCAGAACACACTGGATAGTGTGAGATAGTCAGAACACACTGGATAGTGTGATACAGTGAGAACACCCTGGATAGTGTGAGATAGTCAGAACACACTGGATAGTGTCATACAGTCAGAACACACTGGATAGTGTGAGATAGTCAGAACACACTGGATAGTGTGAGATAGTCAGAACACACTGGATAGTGTGAGATAGTCAGAATACACTGGATAGTGTGAGATAGTCAGAACACACTGGATAGTGTGAAATAGTCAGAAAACCCTGGATAGTGTGAGATAGTCAGAACACACTGGATAGTGTGAGATAGTCTGACCACACTGGTATGTGTGAGATAGTGAGAACACCCTGGATAGTTTGTGATAGTCAGAGCACCCTGGATAGTGTGAGATAGTAAGAACACCCTGGATAGTGTGAGATAGTCAGAACACCCTGGATAATGTAAGTCAGTCAGAACACCCTGGATAGTGTGAGATAGTCAGAGCAAATGGATAATGTGAGATAGTCAGAACATCCTGCATAGTATGAGATAGTCAGAAGACCCTGGATAATGTAAGTAAGTCAGAACACCCTGGTATGTGTGAGATAGCGAGAACACCCTGGATAATGTGTGACAGTCAGGACACCCTGGATAGTTTTGAGATAGTCAGGACACCCTGTGTAATGTGAGTCAGTCCAAACACCCAGGGTAATGTGAGTCAGTCTGAACACCCTGGATAGTGTGAGTCAGTTTTAACACCCTTTTGCAAACATGAATAACAAGCAAACTATTCTGTTTTTATCCTATTCTGTTCCTGTTTCCCTTTCTTCCAAGGAGGAAAGGCTTCAGTTGATGCAGGTGGAGAAACAAAGATCACTTGTCATGCACAGCACCTCCTGGAGGTAGATCACTGATATTTGATCAAACATTTCTTTTAGGTGTTCATCAACTTCGTGAAACAGCAGATGGAGATTGTGCAAGAAGACGACACAAAAACTCGCCAGAGGTCAAGAACGAGAGCAAGGTCACAGGCTGCAGCAGAAGATGATGTGGAGCCTCTCCTGTTGTCTGAAGACGATGGTGGACTGTTGCATGATGATGACGATGATCTCATTTTACGTCTGGATCAGTCCAATGGGGTGAGTTCCTGGCATTGCTTATGCACGGCTGCTACATTTGATTTCCAGGCTTCATGGGCAGTGCTCAGCTTTTTTTTAATGTTGGAACACTATTACCTTGCTGCTGCTGCTTAGTCCGAAAATTTACTTGTTTGTTTTACCAAAATATATGAAAGGACCTTTTTAATATTAACAAAAACAGTGACTGTATGTATTTCAGCATTGAGTTACTGTAGGTTTTTGTGTGCATTCCACTCTTCCTTTATGGGGTTCATTTCTTGGTAGAAAAAATATTATTCTTCCCTTGAGGTGAAATCTTTGCTAAAGCATGGTGGAGAGAACAAACATCATCAATGTAACTGTAAATTTTTAGATAAATGGTTACTAGAGACAAGCATGGAAAAACGTGATGTGTAAACAAGTAATTCATTGCTCTGGCCTTATGAAACATGCATGTTCTTATGAAAAGGAAAATATTTCGTAGCATTCAAAGTTTAAATGTAAGTTCTTTGGTAAAGTTCAGCTTCTTTATACTTGAGCCTTAATATAAACCTTGCTTGTATGGTCCTCAAGCGGTTGCACGATGCTTTGCTATTTGCCATTTTTTAAGAATCATTACAAATGCATCCTTACTTTCTTCATGCATGCCATCACAAAATAAAAGAACCTCATGTTGTGAATCTTGGGTAGAATTGGTCCCCAGCAGCCTAGGCTGGTTGTAAGTGGCAACCAAATGGATCAGGTGGTCAGGATCGTTGACTTGGTTGATTGTGTGTCATTGTACCCAACAATGTGGATCACTGCTCACAGTGTCAATCACTGGATTGCATGATCAAGATGTGATTATTTACAGGCCATCACTGAAATGTGGATTTGGTGGTACAGTTCATAACTGAAAGTGTATTCAACTGTTTAGGAGCCTTGCTCATGCTGTCAACCACTGGTTTGTCTTGTCCAGACAATTATTTACAAGTCACCATGATACGGCTGGAATATTGCTGACTGGTGTACACAAAGTACCCAAAAAAATGAATACCTTTCTGGGATTTAAGTCATGACAAATTGCGTATATATATCATTTGAATAGTTCTCTCACATTTATAGTTTCGGTTTGCTTTGCTTGCTTTTTTGTTTTATTTGTGTGAGTCCATTTCACCTCTGTTTCTAACCCGACCCTGCCCTTTGTTTCAGATGGTGTAGTTCTTGCTTTCTGCATTTCTGAACATATTTATTTGTAAGTTTGCAGCTTGTATATATTCCACTTACTAAAATATCACAACTTTGTGTAACACCTGGTTGAAACAGACAATGTGGAGTGTTGTTTACACCGCCGATAACTGGTTTGTTTGTCACGGGATCAGATCCTCATGTTTGATTTAGAACATCAATTTCCATGTCATTTCAACAAACATAATCTCATGACATGTCAAAGTTCAGTTTTCACATCATTTCAAAGTGCAGTTCCCACTTAATTTCAGTATGTGTTTCCCATGCCATTCCAAAGTTTAAATCCCTATCTTTTTTAGGTTCAATTTCTTGTCATTTTTTAGGTTCAATTCTCCATTTCCCATGACATTTCAGTGTTCAATTCACACACCATTTCAAAGTTCAGTTCATTTTCAAGATCAATTTCCAATCATTATAAAGTTTTCAAGTTTAATTCCCATGTCAATTCGAAGTTCAATTCCCCTTTATTTCATTGTTCAAATCGCATGTGCCGCGATTCGCAGTGCAGAGTTGCGTCCCTTGGGCACACCAGAAACTTATGATTGTGGGCTCGATTCCCGGTTCGCCCCAATTATGTTTCTAGGTTTGTCAGCACCATACCCGTGCTCATGGGTTTCGCTGAAGTGTTAAACATCTGAGACCTGAATCACTTCAGGCTTTCCTCCCACATTAAGCTGACATGCCATGATGTAACTGGAATACTGTTTAAAGCGGTGTTAAACCCAACTCACAAACTCATTCCTATGCCATTTCAAAGTTTAAATCCCTATCTTTTTAAAGGGTCAATTTCTTGTCATTTTTAAGGTTCAATTCTCCATTTCCCATATCATTTCAGTGTTCAATTCACACACCATTTCAAAGTTCAGTTCATTTTCAAGATCAATTTCCCATCATTATAAAGTTTAACTCCAGTGTCATTTTCAAATTTAATTCCCATGTCAATTCGAAGTTCAATTCTCAATCATTTTTAAGTTCAGTTCCCCATTATTTCGAATTTCAGTTTCCCTATTATTTTGATGTTCAATTCCCCATTATTTTGATGTTCAATTAATTGTTCAATTTGATGTTGAGCCCAAGGAAATGGGGATTTAGTGGTTCCCATGAATGACTAAATTTGTGTCATCATTCCTCGATGACATGTATCATTGCTCATGCTGTCAGTCACTGGTTTGCCTGGCCTCTGGTATTATCTCATAATATTCACTTACTCGCTCACTATATGCAATATGACACCAAGAGTGGCAAGAGCAGCTTTACTCCCTGCTCCCTCACTCACTCCACCTGGCTGGTGGTGTTGCACAACCTGCCTGTTTTAAATTAACTTTCTTCACCATACATTCACGAATGTTTGCTTGCAAGATGTTTCTATCAACCAGTTTGCACAATATACATTAAACATGACATAAAGTTCTATTTTTTTATATCCATAAGCTCAAATACCTTATTTTATTCAAGTAATGTATTGTGTATAAGTAGGCCCGTGTATGTTCAGGAAATCTGTATATTCAGTATTTCATCATTGAATATTATGCCATGACAGATTGACTGTTGTAATATGAAAGAACCAGGGTTTCTTTAACTTCTTTTGAGTAGTACATCATCAATTTTTGATTGTTATTGACAAACATATGCTCATACTCTTGGTATAGTCGGAATCTTACAATCGACTGTTTTTTGCAGACATTTACTATGGATATGGAAAGGGTTTTGACGCTTTTGTTTATAATATATGAGTCCATGATATGTGTGTATTGAATATGCAGTGTTTTGCTGAATATGCAGCTCCCTTGGGCACTCGGGGCAGACAAGGTCCCCATTCTCCCATGTTATCCTAAGAGCGGGCTAGTGAGGATCAGGCTGCTACATTAGCCTATGGTGTGTCAACATGCCTCTGTAGTGTGGATTGTTGCTCATGCTGTTAACCACTGTCCTCCTGGCCCTCATTTGATAATTCCAGGCTGCCACAATACACCTGGAATATTGCTGACTGGTGTAAAACTACACCAGGTATTATTTACAAGTTTCCACGATACGATGCAAAACTATGCCAGGTATTAATTACGGGTTGCCATGATACAGCTGGAATATTGCTGAACAATAAAACAACATTCACTCACTGAATCTACTTTCCATATCTGTACGTGCAATATATTGTTGAACATCTTTTGATTCTTTTCGTTCCAGACTCGTCTGACTATACTTACCCTCTAATCTTCTGCAACTGCTGATCTCAAACATAAGCATTTTGTGATCTTGTCTCTCATGAAAGGCTTCCTGCTGAAGGTTCTATTATAAAGAGGTCATGACGGACTCCATATTTCCACTGAAGGTTCTGCTATAAGAGGTCATGACGGACTCCATATTTCCACTGAAGGTTCTGCTATAAGAGGTCATGACGGACTCCATATTTCCACTGAAGGTTCTGCTATAAAAGGTCATGATGGACTCCATATTTCCGCTGAAGGTTCTGCTATAAAAGGTCATGATGGACTCCATATTTCCAGTGAAGGTTCTGCTATAAAAGGTCATGACGGACTCCATATTTCCACTGAAGGTCCTGCTATAAAAGGTCATGGCAGACTCCATGTTTCAGCTGAAGGTTCTGCTATAAGAGGTCATGGCAGACTCCATGTTTCAGCTGAAGGTTCTGCTATAAGAGGTCATGGCAGACTCCATGTTTCAGCTGAAGGTTCTGCTATAAGAGGTCATGGCAGACTCCATGTTTCAGCTGAAGGTTCTGCTATTAGAGGTCATGACAGACTCCATGTTTCAGCTGAAGGTTCTACCATTAGCCATTTCATGTCATTCTAGAGGATGGAAGAGTAGGAATCCCAGTGCAAAACAAAAGAAGATGCATTCATTGTATAAAATATCTGAAGACTGAAGCTGTGCTATGTTTCCAGTTGCATTTGTGCCAGATGTTTTCACTGCTAAAGTATATATATTTTCATGCAATAACAGAGGATTAGAAGTGAAAACTTGTCATCTTCAGACGTTTATTTTAAGCTGAAAATTGTGTCTTCCCCTTAAACAGTGTCATGTTATTAGATGTAGGACTTGTGCTTAATGGTAAAGATATTTATCATGCAAACTGGCCTCCACAGGAGATACTGCTTAGCTGAGATCAAGCCATCTCTACTTGGAGATATTGCTGCAATAAAATTGCATCACATAGCTTAGCAAACCGTTGCAACGTCACCAGTTACCATGGCATGATGTCACAGTCAATGCCATCACTTACCTCTCTGCTTCTGAAGCTGGATAAGATTGCTTATTACAGTTAAAATGAAAGAAGAATGATATTGGATCACCCTTGTGTCTTTTGATATAAAATATCAGACTCTGGCGCAGTGGTGACTCCGCATAACACCACTGCCACAGGCTAATTTGCATATCACGTGACCAGACTTTTCTCTTTTCTCTTTACCAATGTAATTACGCAAAAGGATAATTACGCAAAACAAGTAGATTTACACGTATTAACATAACATACTTTCTTAATGAATCGTAACCATTCTTTGACATTTGTTTATGAAAATGTGTAGACTTGTCAAACATGAAACGGATGAAAAGCAGATGCAATATCTTGAATGGACTGTGAAAGATGTGACGAATTGTCACATGGCGCTGGCCTGTGGCAGAGGTACTACGCTGGCTGGCTGCCGGCCGCATGGAACTCAGGGTAGGAGAGTGGTAAAATATTTGATGTTCGTTGAATAAGTTTAAGACACCTCGGCAAGCCTCAGAGTCAAACTTGTGTAGATATACTTGATATCAAAAGACCGTGGTGAAATTCTCTCTGTCTTATCTTCAACTGTGTATCTTGTAGAGAAGATTACTTCACCGTGTAGACTGAGAATGTATCTCACCTTGGAACATGAATTTATCTCCAAGAGGAATAAAATATCTGACTAATTACTGTGTGGGTTTGCCATGTGGACAGCTTGTTGCTGAACCATCATATTTCAACAGGACGAGGAGTGTGAAATATCTCCTAGTAATTGGAGTACCTCACAACGAATGTGAGAATGTTTCTCTTTGCAAGTGGAAGGAAAGATATCCCATTGTGGAAGAAAACGAGGAATGTGAGAATGATTCTCACCAAGGAATGAGAGAATGTTTCTCTCTGAAGAAGGTGGGAATATTACCAAGGAATTCTATGAAAAGATGATACAATTTTCAATATGGAAGATTTGTCACAGGATTTTGTTTAAAAGTACGATATATCTCACCATATGTATCTCAGTGAAAGATCATGTCCATCTGTGACTCATAACAGACAGTGGAATAACAATGTTTAGTCCATGCCATTATATACAATTCCACTTTCCATAATACACAAACTGTCATATTACAAGGCCAAATTTGATTGTATGTGTGCTGCACTGCAAAGTGGAATTTCTTTTCAGATATGGGTACCAGGAAACTGATTTTCCAATATTTACCCCAGTACCTTTGCTTTTTGTGTTTAAATTGTGCTACCCAGGTGTCAGATCTTCATCCGGTTTATTTCATTGATTTAAAATTCCAATACAAGTTATTGTAGGAATTGTGGGTGTGTAGGTTTGCCATATTGGAGAGAATATGGTTCATTGTTTATGCATTTGCCAATTTTAGAAATGAAAACTGATTGTTTTGACATCATCCAGATGTGAGGGTCTTGATTGGGGTGTCACAAGTTTGTTGTCAGTAAAATTTTTGGCAGTCATTAAAAGAACTTGAATAGTGGATAAGACATGGAGTTGAATCTAAAATGCAAAATCATTTCTATGCGAATATGGATCATCAGTGTGTCTAGGGAAACATAGGGAGAGGGGGGTTTGCTTTCGTTTCATTACTGCAATTATCAAACACTGACTGCTTTTGCTGTATCGTTTGATCTAGTTATACGCAACTTTTATGAGATGTTGGCATGATTATCACAGTAAAGTTTACAAACAAGAGCTAGTCTGTTTTTAATTTAGATTTTAGTTAATCTTTTACAATAATATTTGACTCATTTAATGTTTATGACAAATGTTTTTAGTTATTTTACGCTAAACAGTATACCCCATCAGGACCCTCTGTTGTGCCATCCATTACAGACATGTGTAAGAGATGCTTCATGGGAAATTTCAAGTTAAATTTTTTTGTTATTGATTTTCTACCCTGCGACATTATTTTTTATGACTGACACATTTGTTGTTTGATCCAGACACATTTACAGTAATGGAAGACCAAGGTCATATGAGATGACCTTGATAAAGTGGGAGGCAATTTCACATTACCGCTGTCAATTTTCACCTTTTCATGACAAATATCAATGCAAGATGTTTAAAATTTGATGTATATATTTCAGTCATTGTATGAAAAGTAATTACAACTTTAATCATAAAATGCTCAAATTGTGATATGTGATTATTCGTATGTTGGCAATTGCCCATTTATTACGATACTTGAATTTTGCATTGTTTGTATTTCATGCATATCATTGTGGCTATGTAAGATTGATCTCCAGTGTTTCCGTGTGGTGTAATCATCTTACTCTGTGTAAGCTCAGCTTGTGACAAAACTACGGGAAACAGGAATCTTAATTTCGAGACACCCTTCCAGTTCAGCTTTGTAGCTGAAGTCATATCATTAATAGAAATGTATCAGGTGGGTTGTCTATAATGACATATGTATTGAATAAATGTATGGGAACATGTGGAATAAATGTTTAGCTTTTGAACTAAAAGAAATTTTCCCCAGATTTCTAAGAGCTGTTCTTAATGTTGTTTTAGATTGGGCCATTATTTTTTATTTGTTGGATCACAGATTTTTGTTTGTTATACATGTAGTCGGAAGTCGGAGGAGGGAATAGTATATTTTTTTTAAAAAGCTGACATTAGCTTCTATTTGTTACACTGTCTCATGAAATGTTTTTACAAATATTACTTGTTTCAGGGGAGGGGGAAAAATAAGTAAATAATAAGTAAATTATATCATTAGCTCCATTGTCTGCTTGAAGCATTCTTTTGTCAGTTATTCTTTGAAGACAAAGGGAGTTAGTGTAAGCAAAGTCCATGTGTCAAGGACAAGGGACATAACTCTTGATTTATCATGCAAGGAATTTCATGTTCATAGATGATTACTATTAAAACATTGAGTAATCTCAAAATAGTTTTGCGTGTATGAGTTGCTCGCAGGGGGAAAATAAGCATAAATTAGGCTTGTTATGTTTATCTAGTTTTGAAGAAAATAGGGTTGGTTGGTTGGTTCCATGATCCAACAAATAAAAATATAATGGCCTTGACATGAATAAGTAAAATCTCTCATCCTGCTCCAAATTCCCATCCCCCCCACTGCCATTGGATATGTTCACACCAATCAAGGGTTTTCACGGTGATATGAAACTAAATGAATGTAAAATGGATTATACCATAGTTCTTACGATTAGAAACTTGAAATCAGTGGAACTTAATGGCAGTTCTGGTATTGAAGGCCAATCCAACAATGTGTATGTTATGTCAAGATGTAATAGGCCAAATAAAGATTTTAAATACTGTTGCCAAGTAAATTATGCTAAAGACAAAATATCTATGAAATGTTATTTAGAAAAAGCATACCTTTTTTCAAACAGCATTAAGGAAAATAAATTTCTTTGTTATTGGAAAAATTGGTGCATGGTTATCCACGAATCCAGTAAGAATTGCTCTGCAGATAATAACTCCTCCTTTTCATGCCATGTAGGGTTTGTTGGTTGTGAGAAATGTTACGCATGAAACTCATTCAAGCAGAAAATCATGGCAGTGGTGTTATGGGGGAATGGCATGGTTGTCCGCGGTGCTAAAACTGGGTGTGGTGAGAACATGTTGAACCATGTGGCAGTTGCAGTTTTTTCTTAATTCTGGTTGGGTTATTAAAAAAGGTGGTATAATATTTCTCCTGTAAGTGGTAGATGAATGTTTTACCCCAGATTAAAATAATGAGAAAGGTTCAGTTTTCTGTATTATCAATAAGGGATACATAGAAACTTTGATTTAAATTCATCTAGTTGCAGCTGATTTCAGATTAGTGGTATTTTATGCTACTAGAATGGGGAGGAAACAAGTTGTCATACCACATTTTACTAGTGTCAGGACTAGTGTAATACCCTCTCCACAGGTAACTGGTTAATTGTGGAATGAGGAAGAAAGGTTTAAGGTTAAATCCTACAAGTCATAATTGGGATGGAAAAACCATCAGTTCTTCGTCTGATAGTAACTTAGAATCTCCCCATGTAGATAGGGGTATGTATTATTAATATTATTATTATTATTATGTGTCATGACACCAGGGATAAGAATTTCTTTACTAAAAGTTATCCAGGGATCTTGGGGACTATATAATTGATGCATATATTCTAATGGCATATTCCACGAAAGTGACCCTTGGCGTACTAAATCTGGGGAATTTCTTGGAAATTTCTATTTAATTTAATCGATACATAGGTAGGTGTATTGTGTATCATAGTTTCATGTGTACATTTGCGATACATCATGACTCGTGACACTCCTATTAATTATTGATGGTAATTTCATCCATAATTGTGATGCCGAAGGATCATTAAATCCCCTTTTATATATAGTGTGCCAATGCTGAAAAATTTTAAAGTGCTTTACCATAATTTATTCCTTAGTTTTCATATTTTTATGAATTATTGTCCAGTTTTTTTAATGTTCATTGATCACAATGTTATCTTATATCAAACAATATTATGATCTAATATAAAATGTTTGCTCATAACTGTGTTTGTTAGTGTTGTTTTATGTGTTAGAGTAGAAGGGTGATATTTATAGTATGTGTGTTGAGTTCTATTTGGTGAGTGGGTCTTTGTTTTATCAAGGTTGCTTCTGTTTCTTACCACGTAGTCTGTTGTGTGTTCCATACCATCAGAGGCAGAATGTGAATTAGCTGCATGGTTATTGTTATCAATTTATTTCTTGTGATATGTGACACAAGACTGTTTTCTCAGTCATGAAACTTTCAAATTTGGCTTTTCTAGAGGGTCCTGATTTGGGAAAGGGCTGTCACAAATCAGTATGATTAGGGGCTTTATTGTCATGTCCTTACTTGATTAGAGGATCCTGATTGGGGATTGGGCTGTCACAAGTCAGTATGATTAGGGGCTTTATTGTCATGTCCTTACTTGATTAAAGGGTCCTGATTGGGGATAGGGGTGTCACAAGTCAGTATGATTAGGGGCTTTATTGTCATGTCCTTACTTGATTAGAGGGTCCTGATTGGGGATAGGGGTGTCACAAGTCTGTGTGATTAGGGGATTTCAGTCTGTCACCATTATGTTTTTGGCTTAGTGGGACAAAAGGAGGGAATAACTGACAAGCTGTCAAGAGGTCAAAAAAATGCTGAAAAAGTAATTTGTCCCCAGGTTATACTAAGATTAAAATTAATTCACTGGACATGTTGGATGTTCTGAAAAATAATGTGTATTGGTGGGTAAATCAACTATTGTTTGCCTCCTCTTAAAAATCCCAGCCCTCCCCATGCTCCAAGTAATAATAAATGGTCAGTCACTTCCACAGGGTATTTCTTCAGGTGCGTACCTGATAGTTAACCTGGTGTCCTACACAATCATAAATATATTATCTCACCTCAATGTCAGAATGTGGAGATCTGATTTGTTAACGTGATCTTGATAAAATACTATGAATCCCTCCGGGGAGGAAAATAAATTTCTAAGTTTGAGAAGAAGTCTCTTATACCCCGCCATGAAGAAGACAGGCTGCACATGGATTTCTGAGCAGGAGAATAAATCCTTTATACACAACTCTGAAGCAAAAAGATGCATGTTGTTTATGATTCAATGATAGTCATGTGACAAAGCACAAGTTAACCTCAGCTCAGTCGAACAGCTGTTTTTATGAATTCTCAATTACAGTGGCAGATTGAAACATGTTGGTAAGATAAATTCCTTGTCGCAGCATTACTCTGGGTATTGATCACCCCTGCACCCCTCTGTATCCACGTATGTAGGTGTTGGCATCAGGACGGGATATATTTCAGGTCACGATTTGTGATTATCCTTGAAACCTTCTTCCCCAATGTTTTTATGTTTCTTGAGGACAATGGTTAGGACTGTTCTAGTGATAGAATGTGAAGTGTATGGATGGTTTGTTTGAGCAATAAAATGCAATATGAAGATGTGTTCTGATTGCGCGTGAACTGCGTTTCAGTGAAAATGTGTCTTAGTTATATTTAGTAGGAGAATTTAAACAGTGTAGATCAGCTGTGATACAATTGTTTAAGTATCATTGGGCCAATTTGTTTTCCTGAGCTCAGAGAAATCGAAAGAATCCATGGCTTATGTGATGTTCCATAGCATGTGGATCTTGTCCTATTGGACATAGAGACCAATTATATTCCATTCAATAAACTTGCATATTTCTTCCACTCATGAATTCTCTACACTTTCATCCATCAGTAACCTGTTTAAATAACCTGGGTTTTTTTAATGTCAATATCATGTCAGGCACCTACCATTTGCTATTCTGGGCAGCGGGCCTGGGAGTTTATAAAAAAAATATACAATTGACAGATAAAATTCTTGAAAAAAGTAATTATGCTTCAGTGTGTGGGAATTTGTTTTGTCTACTATGAAAGTTATATTGTTGCAAGATATTTTTCTTGAAAAAAATATTCAGGCTCATGAATTTAAATAAATAAATATCTGGTATTGCAGCTTTAGCTGAAGAAAGATCTAATCTCCATACAAAATCCCAGGTGCCCCCCTCCAGAATATCAAATGGTCAGCCCCTAGCTTGTCCTTCAACCATCATTGTTCTGATGTATCTGAATGTGATCATCTATAGCAATGGGGTGACACTGTGGTCACTCATCTGTAACCTGGAATGACTGTGCATACACATCTATATATTTGTCATAGAGAAATTCCTGGCAAAACATCTGACAAATTCAAGAGTTTGGTTTTGCCACAAAAGATATGAAAGGTGTTTTTTGTGATACGATTTTGTAACAGAAGGTTTTCAGTTATGCTGTTAATAATCTATGTTGAAATATATGTCTTTCTAATAATACAATATACAATATGAGTCTTTCAAATTTGCAGATCTTTTCTTGGTTTGTCATCCAATGTATTTATTTTGAAATCTTATCTTGTAAATATGCTTGTGTGAATTAAACTGTAACACCTCCAATACAAGGGCTTTTTAATTGTTGAATCCATTATTTAAGCAGAGGAAACACAGTTGTCTAAGGTGCAAAATATTGCTGTGCAGAGTTGCATCCCTCAGGAATGCAAGGATCCATGGCTCCTGAGTTTTGTTCCCACATTCTCCCTTATAATGATCATTTGTTTGCAAAACCATGTTCATGCTTGTTTCAACTAAAGTGATATTTGGCTTCAATTTTTGCTCTCTCTTCACCTTAATTGGAGAGTCAGTGATATATACTCAGATAAAAGTAAATGTGCTTCATATAAAAAGTGGTGTAAATGTAACATTTGGTCCCATCATTTTGTTATAACAAATTCATTGATACAAGGTAACGGGACACTCCCTAAAACAGATAGTGTAACAACTCAATTACCAGTATCAATATTGGGGGTGACCACCATTTTCATTGATACAGGTGAGGCAGCCGCAGTGCATTGAAGACACCAGATGATTGAAAACATCCTGGGGGATGTTCTTCCAAATGTCAACCAAATATTGACCCAGCTGAGCTAGCGTTAGCGGCTGGTTTTGGTCCTGTCGTAGGTGTCTTTTGTTTCATTCCAAACATGTTCTATTGGGAAGAGGTCTGGATAGCCAGCCGGGCATGACGGTACAGCAATGTTATGCTGCCTGAAAATGTCAGTCACAACAGGTGCAACATGTGTATGGACATTAACCTGCTGCAACATGACGTTACGCGCACGCCATTAAGATTGTCATTAACAACCACGAGTCGTGTTCTCCCATGAACTGTATTACCTCACCCATACCATTGCACTTCCACCCCAACTGACGACGTTAAGTCACGCAAACGCCGTAAAACGTTCTCCGTAGACCCTGGATGAAACCTGGACTCATCTGTGAACAGTATACTGTCCCAGTCACGTTTTCTGAACCTCAGATGCTGTCTATGCCAAGCTAGGTGTGCCTGACTGACGTGGAAGCAAAATTGAGCGTATCACTGGATGTCGGGCTGGAAGTTGTGCTCCCACAACCGGTTTCATACGGTTCTGCCACTCTTTGGCCTCTGTCCGAGCTGGTAATGTTTCAGTTTGGTATCGATTCCGTAGCTGCACCAACCGAATATGGCTGTCTTGTTGACGTGACATCATTCGTGAACGATCAGCCCGTGACAAGTCATGAGTGTTGCCCTGGTGTAGATAACGTCTCCAAAGTGAGTGAGTGAGTTAACATTTAACGTCTCATCGGCATTGTTTCAGCCATATAGCGATGATCGTCTCGGCCGAGGCATTGCGTAATCGTCATTTGGGGTTAAACAAAAGTGTTATTATGAGCACCTAACAGCTAAACAATTTGTATGTGCTGTTCACGTTTAAAAAACACATGTGTAAGTATCATGCTCCCAACAAACACGCAAACATCCACATTATGCGCCGTCAGAAATGAACTGAATAAGGGTTCTAGGCCACACCTATTTACATAATGAGAGCACAGTGTTGGAGATCGGTACTGACGCAAGTCGTCTTATACAATCCCCACTCAATGTCTCTGTAACCAGTTCCTCGATATTACAAGATACTGGAGGAAAATTTCAAGATAATCCGAAATATTAACGCACATATTCAAGTTCGGTTTGGTCAAAGATGATAAGACTATGAATTGCGTCAGTACTTATATATCCACCTATCTCCAACACAATACTCTCATTATGAAGCCGCGATACAACTGGAATACTGTTAAAAGCGGCGTTAAACCCAACTCACTCACTCTCATTATGAAGCAAGGTGTGCCCTTGAACTCTTATTCGGTTCATTGTTTAAATTTAACCGTGCATTTCTCAATTCGGGGAAACTGTCAATGCATTGTTTTGTGTTATTATTTCGATTCAGAAGGTTCGTCACTGTTGCACCAAGGAAATAATTATGTATTTACGTCGAAGGGAAATGATTCAGATTTTGAAGGTCAACGTTGGAGCGATTGTGTGACTGCCTGTGAGAAAACAGAACTGACACCAGCCAACGTAGTAATTAAAGCGTTTGCTCGTCACGCTGAAAACCCAAGTTCGAAGCTCATTTCTGGTGACCCTCTTCGTGATATGTGCTGGAATATGGCGTCAAACCATACTCGCTCACCCACTGTCTAAAATCACACAGAGCAATATTCCAGCTATATGACGGCGGTCTGTAAATAGTCGAATCTAGACAATCCAGTGAATGACACCATGAGCATCCATCAACGCAATTGTGATACGATGACACGCATCAACCAGGTCAGTGAGCCCCTACACACGATCCGGTTAGTTGCCTCTTACGACAAGCATGCGTTGCTGAAGACAAATTCTAACCCGGATCTTCACGGGATGAGGAAATGCGTAGTAATATTTCATAGGTATAACATTTACATTATTGCAACACTGCAACACACTAAAAGTGCAACAGAATGAGAAAATTTACCTTATTTACAGCACTGCGTTTGCAGGATGCCCACACCACAAATAAGATGTATAATGGAGAATTGTAAATGCCACGATGTCCAAACTTACACATGATTGCACATAAACATTTGAAAACAAATATTTAACGAACAATTTCTAATAATAAATCGATAACACTGAATCAGATATTATCGCAAGAGAATTTGCCCAGGAGTAGTGAAAACATATTAATGTTTAATTAAGTATTGAAAAATTATATACATATTGGATTCATATGGCTGCTTATGTATGATTTCTTTGTTTGTTGTTTGACGCCGCACTCAGCAATATTCCAGCAAAATGGCGGCGGTCTGTAAATAATCGAGTTTGGACCAGACAATCCAGTGATTGATGTCATGAACATCGCTCCACGCAATTGACATGCATCAAACAAGTCAGCGAGCCTGACCACCCTCCTGTTAGTCGCCTCTTACGACAAGCAGAGTCGCCTTTTACGGCAAGCACGGGTTGTTGAAGACCTATTCTACCCCGGATCTTCACGGGTCTGCTTGTGTATGCTTATGCAAGAACATTATACATTGCTAACCAAGGTGGTGTTACAAATGGGTTCACCAAACCATACTGACAATACTATTTTAATCAAACTACTCGCAAGTAATTTCAAGGGCGAATGACCTTCAAAGTGTGCTTGACCTTGTCACCATTATGAGTTGCTGTAAACGACGTCCGTTCCCACCAACACAATCATGACACATGCAGAATGTTCTAAACCGATTGTAAACATGGTTAACTGATCATGAATTAATCCAGAAACTCTTGGAATTCGAGGTCATGTGATATGGAGGTCACCAAAAAGTTGATGCTTTCGAGACATCGCCCTAGAAAGTTTTGTCAAATATCAAACTTAAACACTCACGTTATCTTGTACATAAACCGTTTTGATGCATGATACATACTGATCGACTAAAGCGACCTTCAATGTCATCCAACAATATGTCAGAAAAATTCTTCTGCGGCATAATGGATGTTTTCCGATTATGAAGTTCAGTGCGAAATCGGTTCCATCTGAAGCGCTCGTAAAATTTCCACCACCACCATCCGCATCAAATATGGAATCTCCAACATAAGTGCATTATTGATATACACAAATGAACAAAAATTTGATCAAACACATTAGGTAGGTTGCTTAATACCCACTGAATCGAGGGTTGGGTATAATTATTTCAGCACTAGAGAGCAACCATTCAATGAAACATGGAAGCCACAGAAAATTAATTACAATTGCAAACGCAGTTCAGTACATTTCTCTATCACATTTGTAGAACCGTGCCCTTAATGCCTGTGTTAAAACACATGAACACACAAACACTAATAATCAAAAGGTCCACGGCACAGAAATAATTATGCTAGTAGAATAATGAGATGCATGTACATATCTAAAACAAACTGTGATGAATGAAATGTTGGACTGTGGCATGGATTTGTTATGCACATATTCTGTGTTTCTCGCACACATCAACCACAGAATTACTGATTCATTACCTTTAAATGCATCTGCTCCAAGAAAAGAAAACTTATAAAACTCTTAACATAAATTTGAAACTATAAAATCAAATATTCTTCAGCCTCCAGCTTTGCCATGTGTAGGAATACTGAAAAGTAGGTCTGTGTGTCCTGGACAACAATGTCATGATCTGGCAGTAACGACACTCCTGATTGGCTATTCCTGGAAGGTCAAGGTGAAACTGAAACTGGATGTTTTTTCAGATACTCCACTATTTCGGATGATATCAGCAGTTCAAGCAACTCATATTCACACCCTTCACAGTTGATTGTGACAAGATCTATGGGGTTTGTATACACATCAACACTTTTAAAGAAGCCCTTAATTTCATGAATATAAGCAACCTCCTCCTTGGTTTTGCCCGACGCATGTTTCGCCCGAAATAGTGACGTGGCATCGTTATCTATATTCAGAAGTAAGGTCTTGTTCTCCTTGCCGAGACCAAATTTGAAAAGTTTGTATTTGGGATTATTGTTATACCGCTGTTCCAAAATAGTGTAATAACGGGGTACAGGTTCGAGAGCCAAATAATGGGGGTTGTATTTCTTGATTAGCTTAGCCGCATCTACACCAGTATATCCTCCGACTTCTAACACTCGACTGTCAGCTGTTAGATAGGAATGACTGTCGACACGATCAATCTCCATCTTGGGGCGATCTACGGACCCATATTTGGCCCTGAAACTGGCAAAGTTGGCCACGCATGTTGACATCTTAATTTCCTCTTCTTTGGTATGTGAAATGTTGACGCCACATCTGCCCGAAAAAGTTCTTTGAGGTTCGTTGCTGCCCTGCTGTGCTGGCTGGAAGATGACGGGTGGTACGAAGACTCCTTGCCAGATGGCCAATGTCAGACCAAGAACTGAACACAGGAGGACAAGGCCAAGTCTCTGCAGGACAGCCGGTGACGTCATATTCGTCTACAAGTGAAAACAAATCTCATTCATACATAATTCAATTTGTAGACACATTTGGAACGCATGAGTATCGTTCTACGCCGCTTTCAGCAATGTTCCAGCAATATCACGGCGGGGGTTCTCACATTATGCCCACGTGGGGGATCGAACCCGGGTTTCAAATTTTTCACCACAAGAATTCCCGACCGCCCCTGACCATATATGGAACATCACGTAGGCAATGAGTAAGCTTTGTTGTACGCCTCTTTTCAGCAATATTTCATACCAGGGAGGGGCACCAAAAATGTTTGAGCATCGTGACCATTAACCACTGGGCTAGGCTACCCTGTGATCTGTACCAACGCAAATGGTGGTTACACCCGATATTTGCATTCGTGACCAACTCGTGTTATTCCGGGACAAGCCGAATAGCGACTCGTGCCCCTCTCGTGCATTCGTCACCACTCGCCCCTTTCCGTAACCTGCAAGAAGACGCTTGTCCCGGAATAACACGAGTTGCTCACGTATGCCTCTCGTGGCGATTTTTGCGACCTGGTTCCGTCTTAGCGCAAACGGGCATACTTAAACCAATTGTCAACTCGTTGCGTAATGGTTCACACATATTTCCCCGTATATTAAATATATTTCAGATGCAATTTAAAGCACATCTGGACATGCGGAATTATACAGTATGTTTGAACACATTTAACTGTGCCTTGGGTATATATTTTTAGATGCAAGACATATGTAAAATCAAGTATTATTTCTGAGGGATTCTTTGACAAAGAACTTGAAATCATACGATAGGGGGACGAGTCTTCTTGCAGGTTACGGAAAGGGGCGAGTGGTGACGAATGCCGATATTTGCACTGGTAATAGATTTGTTACACCATCGCTCATTTACGGCTTGTCGCTTGTCTCATGTTACCAGGTATTGGTTTCGTCAATGCATTTATGTTAAACATTGTCAGACGAATGACCAAATAGCATGTTGTTATTTTCAATAACGTAACATTTACACCAATTTATATGATCAGTTACCTTTTTCCGCCAGTATATATAAAACATCTTCTTAAAGTGCAAACGCTGCATATTATCATCATGGTCAGTCCAGGTATATAAGTTACGTTGGAAGTATCATGAAAAACATTAATAGATTTGTCATACATCATTGTGTAGCCAGGATGTAGGCCAGGGATCATAAAACTTGTGTAAGGGCTTGTCACTGACGATAAAGGGAGATAATTTAGGGGTGGGTGGCTGGGGGGTAACTCTTGTATGACATCACTGCAGTAAATATCAAGTGTCGTGTTCACTGCAATGAAAATATCACTTTTCTAAACTTCAGAAAACTTATTCTTACACACTGAAGTATATAAAAAAATCAGTTTTAGTAAGATGATAACTGGAATTCAAATATTGAACATTACAGTCCAAAGGAAATACGTACATTTTACAGTTAATTTCATCTTCTAACATTTGTCTTAAAATAAGAAATATAGCTTACGACACTAAATCGGTCGATTTCGGCTGTAAATAATGTTCAAACATACATAAGATTATCAAAGGTTAAACATTTTTGTGGTGTAGATCAACGTATGAAATTATATCTCTTAAAGCGCTCGGTTCAAAATTAAAATAAAGAGGTATCTATTCTACAGCGGGACTACATCAAATTTCAAAACACAGTAGGTTTATCTCCTAATTGAACATGTACATATCAATAATTTAATTCATTGCGTGAAAAAATACGTATAAGATGCGCAAAATCTGTGTATTTTTATTCAACCGACTTCCACCTAAACAAAAATCTAAATATGTACAACAATGTTTAAGTATGACATCACCATCAGTGACCGACTTTTAAAAATGGCGTGTTCATTGAAAGCAGTAGGCGGGATTCAGGGATTGCCCATACACAAATTTGTCATGTTAGTATTTAGAAACAACCCTGACAAATCTGCGCATTGTTATTTCATTTTATGTTTGCCGTCACGCACAACCAAATCATTGCAATGTATACATTTTATATTCCCTAAGTCTTGCTATACGATACACTTCCCATGAATATTCTTTAAAAAAAAAAATAGCCATTGTATGCAACGAATAGACAATGGATCTCTCAAAATAGGAGAAAATGCTACAAAGTGTAAAATCTAAATTTTGCTTTGTTTACATTTAAAACAAGTAGGCCCTACAGTAGATCTACCCTTTTCCTGGAGCAGCAAATGATATAATTCACTTTATTTCATCTAGACCATTTGTATTAGTGACAAAGACAATTTGTCGTTTGATGCTAAAGTGTATGAACACTTCTTACCATTGCAGCTAAGTGTGAAATATATGTGATGCAGAAGGCGTCTCATAACCGGCATACGCGAAACGGAATTTTGGAAGCACTATCCAATATGGCGGAATGTTTACTTTGGAGTGTTTGTTTCAGAAAGATCGCTGGTAGTATGATAAATCACAGATTACTATTTTTGTTTTCTGAGTAATCATTCTCTATTAGATTTTTAAAATATGCGAAATAGCGCCGTGAATGTTGATTCATGCATATTTACGATGAGCCTAATATTTTCAGAGGTTGTTTTAGTAAGTTTGCGCTGCTTAAAATGACCGACAGAACAGAGAATGTCCTTCAAAATTCAGAACTGTGAAGTTTATGTGTGGTGTCGATGTATTTTGAGTTTTGCTCAGCTTCAAAATGAGGGTTGAATAGGAGCGACATATTGACCTTTTTCACACTTTCGCCATCTTGGATCGAAAACGAGGCTTGGAGAGCATAGCTCCATGCAGTGAGAGTCGCATCAGCTCATAGGGAACAGACAGCATTTTGTGCATTTCACTGATGGACATTTTAAACAAACAAAAAATGGTATCCTCTGTATCTAATACAGAAGATATTTCACATTAAATCATGAGGTCCAACTAAAATATGCCTGTAATACACTGGAATTAGCATTTTGCTGTCAGGATCCCGGAAGTGAATCGAAAGGTGCATTTCGAGATACGTATTTCAGAAATAGATTGTTTTATCATAACCTCGTCGGCATATAGAGACAGTGTGACAGTACATTCAATGACAGAAGTTTTGTTTCGTAAATAAACCGCATAACATGAAACACGTCAGTTTCCTTTTGCAAAATTGCTCAGTCAATGCTTGGCTTGGCGAACTCTAGATCAAGATTGAGATATGTTTATTTCACGTTTCATAGTGGTGTTTGCTGAACAACGCACTTTCGTTTTGCCATAAGTCCAGTTGACAAAAGACACTTTTTCTGCTAAGATTTTCATTTTAACATATTACAATGTTAATTATGAAAATAATTCGTGTGTCAAAATAAATAATCAGAAGGGGCGATAACTCTATTCAGTGTGTACAATGACAGATGATACTTTCAAACATCACTTACTTAACTGATTATTGCCGATTGAGATTGCATCGTGCCGACAAAAGTAATAATGTGTGAACTGTTTAAAATAAGTTAAAGGGAAACTAAAAATTGATAAATATAAATAATGTATGAAATTGAAGAAATATAAGAATTGATACAACTACCAACTTCTTGAACACCCTCACCGAATCCTGTATGATGATAGGTAATTGTATATCAAAAGGAAGCTACTAATACATTTATCCTGAATAGTTTGAAAATGTCTTGATCAGATATGAGTACAGATAAAATAACAAAAGATATAAAGGAATCAACTGCAATTGGTAATCAAGCCAAGATAAAATATATGTATCGGTACAAATTATGTTGATGGAACAATCTGGATTTCTCATATTTAACAAAGAAAACAAACCAAAATTTTCATATCTTTATTTCCCACAATATAAGTTTTCAAAACTTAACATGGACTGGGTGTCTTTGTCAGTCAAAAGCACCTAATTAAATTCCAGGAGAAAATAATTTTCTTGCTTGTAAACAAATGGTACAATGTGCTTTTTCAGTGTCCGATAAATATTGGCCATGTTGATTTGTGAGTGAATAAGGCTTTTCACTTCCTCGTCCTATTTAAGTGAAATATGACAGGAAGCACATTTGTTGATTAAATGATTATGGCTTTTCACTTCCTCGTCCTTTGACAGGACGCACATTGTAACCATTGTGTTACTGTCAGCAGAAAGCTCCTCCAGACATCCGTCACTGGATACTAGTACTTCATTGTGTTGACTCGCTGGCCTGAAATGAATAATTCAATAATATTGTAATAATATTCCTACTTCAATAACATTTTTTATAAACAATGCATATTCACCTCTCAAAATATTGCTTATTTAGAAAACAACATTCTTCTGAAATAGAGAAGTTTAAAGAAATTTAATCACAGTGTGTAACATTACATGCTACTTAAGAACAATCTTGAAGGCATCAATTCTTCTGATATGTCGAAAACTCAAACAGTATATTCTTTGTAAATAGTAAACTGAACAGATGCATCAATTTAATGACAGTGTACTAAAGCTCTTTATATCAATGTCACACAGAAATTCACTCTTGTTTTAATGAAACACGTTTTGATATTTGCATTACCGGTATGTATTTAATCATGAAATACTTTGTTTAGTCTAACCATGTTGAAAACATACTTTCGCTGGAGTGAAAATCAGGTGAAATATCACGTTTTGTCACACCTACAGTCAGTCTGCCTCATTGACACTATGGTTTTCTGAGTAAGGTCATGAAGATCACAAAGAAAATATAAGACTTGAATTTATTTTGTCAAATGCAATGTTTATCCCTTCATGTGGTTTACTAAAGTTGATATCTTGACTTGAAAATATTAACTTTGTCAGATCACAAGATGAAATATTATTAAACATATTTTATTGTCAAAAAAGACAAAGGGCAGCACTTATTTTCGCCTTCTCCCTATATACAGTTATACATGATATTGCATAATGAAAATGAACAATTTACATTTGAAGCTTCCCATTGTGGAAACATAGTGCGCAATATATATACAGTGCTCATATGAAGGATATGTACAATGTGCTGGAAAGTGAAGACGGTGTGCATCTCATACATATCCTAATATTATACATTTTAGTGTTGAATATAGATTTAACAATATTAATGAATAACAGTTTGGAAACAATAATATGCTAGCTACTGAATCTGTTAGTCGTTTCTATAAATTTGTGTACAGACAAGAATATTTTTGTATTCAGGAAAACATCTAAGTTTGGATCACCAAAAAGAACACTATGTAGAGTTTTTTGTCCTCCAAGATTATCGATAGCTGTCAGTAATGTCTCCCTAAAATCATCATATAAGGTACATTCGAAGAAGAAATGGAATGAATTTTCACAAGGAGCATGCATACAAGGAGCATGAGATAAATTCATGCTATCATCGTTATTTGACAAGGAAAACAAATTTCTTCTATGTATTTTTATAAATAAACTAAAGTTCTAAAGATTGTTAACAATAGTAAAATATTACATCATAACAATATAATTATTGCAAAATGACACAGTAAGCACAACTATATTCTTATATATAAATTGATATGATTAATAATCAATAATACATGGCAATTGCTTCCACAAAAGAAATCTTTTTGTTTTAAAAGTTTCAAAACATGTTTGTAGACATAAAACCAGATGGGTTTCACAATTAAACAAAGGGAATTAATGCGTTATGATTGCAATACGCATGGGAATTAAAAATAATTCTTTTTATACTTTAAGTTTTTAGTAATGTCAATATCAATTTATGCATTTGAAATATTTGAATACAAACTGTTAAAGAGTTATCTGTTTCTGTAAATTATATAAAGATCAAATGTAGATTGAACATTTACTGGACATTAATTAGTTGGGTTTTTGTTCATTTCATGACATGATTAAATTGGTACAGTAAAGTAAATATCATTTTGGTAGAAATATTAATTGTTACCAAAATTGCAGATCAAACTGTACTTTACTTTAAATATTTACACACCCTTTATGTAATAATTCAGTTGAAATATTACACCTCATGCTATCTAATCTGTCAACATTGACAATCAAAATAACAACTGTTCACAATCACAACAGCACAAGTAGATCGAGAGGTCTAATATTTTATTGGAATGCATTTGAGTCCATTACAATTTACATCAAATACGCAACTGATGCAAACTTTTGATTTGTTACGATTGTAAATTCTCAGTAGGTTACAATTTGATACATTATATCAACATATCAATTTAGTTAGTTCGTGACATATATCTAGATATGGTCAAAAGGTCAATATTTCGACAAATACAACCCGCAAAGTTATTTAAACTCACAATATATAGTTTGGCTTAAAGGTGTGTAAACAATGAATTATTCTTTACAAGATTTCAGTAGTATTTGTATTAAGTCTGTTCAGCTACCATAAACTGCACTGGGAGTTACCAGGTGGTCATGGATATTTTAAATTGAAATCACAACAGAACGGCCAGATTCAAATTTATATCGATAAGGAGACCAGATAACAGTAGAATAGTTTGTCAATAAGAATAATGTTCAATACTTACGATAAAGGTACCGGGATGGTTAAATTGTCACAGTTTGTCCCGATTGCGTGCCTTGTTGAAGTGGCGAACATCATGTAATGTGTTATTGATAAATCATGTTAATTTATATTAGATGATAGTTGTGCTAACTGTGTCAGTGTGCAATTACGATGTAGGATTTAGCTTTTGATCACAAACACTAGAACTTGTTTGTTTTTTTAAATCAAGTCAAACGGTGGGATCATTTTGATAATTTGATAATTCAATCAACACAAGAAATACAATACAACACACAGAGACAAAATAAATTCAAATAACCATAATATGATGTATTTATCTTATCTTGTGATCTGACATATTTGGTATTATCATGATTGGCACATCCACAAGTCAAAATATCAACTTTAGCGAACCACAAGATGAGATGACATTTTATATGACAAAAAAAAAGCAAATTTTTTCATATTATATTTTGTTTGTGGTCTTCGTGATCTTATTCTGAAAGCCATACAGTGTCAATGAGGCAGACTGACGGTACTTTTTACGTAAAATATATTTCACCTGATTTTAATAATGTTTCTTCACTACAGCGAAAGTAAGTTTTCAGCATGTTCAGATTAAACAAAGTATTTCACGATGAAATACAAATATCAAAGCCTGTCAACACTCATACCTGCTCATTTTGGGGTGAGGTGAAATGGAGTTTAACGTTGCGTTTAAGATTATTGCACTTATAAAGCGAAAATAGCAACCCATACTTGCCAAAAGAGGCGACTGTGCTTGTCATAAGAGGCGACTAACGGGATCGGGTGGTCAGGCTCGCTGAATTGGTTGATGCATGTCATCGTATCCCAATTGTTTGTTTGTTTGATTGTTTAACGCTGCACTCAGCAATATTCCAGCTAAATGACGGCGGTCTGTAAATAATCGAGTCTGAACCAGACAATCCAGTGATTGATATCATGAGCATCGGTCCACGCATAGGGGAAACGATTACATGCATTAACCAAGTCAGCGAGTCTGACCACCTGATCCCGTTAGTCGCCTCTTACGACAAGCATAGTCTGTTGGCATATTGGACCGCCTCCGTGGTCTAGTGGTAGAGCGTCCGCCCGGAGAGCGGAAGGCCCAGGGTTCGATCCCCGGCCGCGTCATACCAAAAGACGTTAAAAGATGGTACTTGTTGTTACCCTGTCTGGCGCTCGGCATTAAGGGTCTAAAGCAAGGACTGGTCGGCTCGGAGTGAGTATACTGTGTCTGAGCGAGGTATTCATGTTAAACTGCAGCATGGTATCTCATTGAGCTAGCACTATAAATCGGCACGCACGCACGCACGCACGCGTGAGAAATCCGTGTTGTTAAATATGAGAAATCCGTATTGCTAAATATGAGAAATCCGGATTGTTAAATATGGGAAATCCGTATTGTATTGTTAAATATGAGAAATCCGTGTTGTTAAATATGAGAAATCCGTATTGTATTGTTAAATATGAGAAATCCGTGTTGTTAAATATGAGAAATCCTTGTTGTTAAATGAAAAATCCGTATTGTATTGTTAAATATGAGAAATCCGTGTTGTTAACCATGAGAAATTCGTATTGTTAAATATGAGAAATCCGGATTGTTAAATATGAGAAATCCGTATTGTTAAATATGAGAAATCCGTGTTGTTAAATGTGAGAAATCCGTATTGCTAATTTTGAGAAATCCGTATTGTATTGTTAAATATGCGACATCCGTATGGTTAAAAATGAGAAATCCGTATTGTATTGTTAAATATGAGAAATCCGTGTTGTTATATATGAGAAATCCGTATTGCTAAATTTGAGAAATCCGTATTGTATTGTTAAATATGAGAAATCCGTGTTGTTAAATATTAGAAATCCGTGTTGTTACATGAGAAATCCGTATTGTATTGTTAAATATGAGAAATCCGTGATGTTAAATATTAGAAATCCTTATTGTATTGTTAAATATGAGAAATCCGTGTTGTTAAATATGAGAAATCCGTGTTGTTAAATGAGAAATACGTATTGTATTGTTAAATATGAGAAATCCGTATTGTTAAATATGAGAAATCCATGTTGTTAAATGTGAGAAATCCGTATTGCTAATTTTAAGAAATCCGTATTTTATTGTTAAGTATGAGAAATCCATGTTGTTAAATATGAGAAATCCGTATTGCTAAATTTGAGAAATCCGTATTGTATTGTTAAATATGAGAAATCCGGATTGTTAAATATGAGAAATCCGTATTGTTAATTATGGGAAATCCGTATCGTATTGTTAAATATGAGAAATCCGTGTTGTTAAATATTAGAAATCCTTATTGTATTGTTAAATATGAGAAATCCGTGTTGTTAAATATGAGAAATCCGTGTTGTTAAATATGAGAAATCCGTGTTGTTAAATGAGAAATCCGTATTGTATTGTTAAATATGAGAAATCCGTATTGTTAAATATGAGAAATCCGTATTGCTAAATTTGGGAAATCCGTATTGTATTGTTAAATATGCGACATCCGTATGGTTAAAAATGAGAAATCCGTATTGTATTGTTAAATATGAGAAATCCGTATTGTATTGTTAAATATGTTGTTAAATGTGAGAAATCCGTGTTGTTCAGAATGAGAAATCCGTGTTGTTAAATATAAGAAATCCGTATTGTATTGTTGAATATGAGAAATCCGTATTGTATTGTTAAATATGAGAAATCTGTGTTGTTAAATATGAGAAATCAGTATTGTTAATTATGGGAAATCCGTATTGTATTGTTAAATATGAGAAATCCGTGTTGTTAAATATGAGAAATCCTTATTGTATTGTTAAAAATGAGAAATCCGTGTTGTTAAATATGAGAAATCCGTGTTGTTAAATGAGAAATCCGTATTGTATTGTTAAATATGAGAAATCCGTATTGTTAAATATGAGAAATCCGTATTGCTAAATTTGAGAAATCCGTATTGTATTGTTAAATATGCGACATCCGTATGGTTAAAAATGAGAAATCCGTATTGTATTGTTAAATATGAGAAATCCGTATTGTTAAATATGAGAAATCTGTATTGCTAAATTTGAGAAATCCGTATTGTATTGTTAAATATGCGACATCCGTATGGTTAAAAATGAGAAATCCGTATTGTATTGTTAAATATGAGAAATCCGTATTGTATTGTTAAATATGTTGTTAAATGTGAGAAATCCGTGTTGTTAAGAATGAGAAATCCGTGTTGTTAAATATGAGAAATCCGTATTGTATTGTTAAACATGAGAAATCCGTATTGTATTGTTAAATATGAGAAATCCGTGTTGTTAAATATTAGAAATCCGTGTTGTTAAATATGAGAAATCAGTATTGTTGAATATGAGAAATCCGTATTGTATTGTTAAATATGAGAAATCCGTGTTGTTAAATATGAGAAATCCGTGTTGTTAAATATGAGAAATCAGTATTGTTGAATATGAGAAATCCGTATTGTATTGTTAAATATGAGAAATCCGTGTTGTTAAATATGAGAAATCCGTGTTGTTAAATGAGAAATCCGTATTGTATTGTTAAATATGAGAAATCCGTATTGTTAAATATGAGAAATCCGTATTGCTAAATTTGAGAATTCCGTATTGTATTGTTAAATATGCGACATCCGTATGGTTAAAAATGAGAAATCCGTATTGTATTGTTAAATATGAGAAATCCGTATTGTATTGTTAAATATGTTGTTAAATGTGAGAAATCCGTGTTGTTAAGAATGAGAAATCCGTGTTGTTAAATATGAGAAATCCGTATTGTATTGTTAAATATGAGAAATCCGTATTGTATTGTTAAATATGAGAAATCCGTGTTGTTAAATATGAGAAATCCGTATTGTATTGTTAAATATGAGAAATCCGTACTGTATTGTTAAATATGAGAAATCCGTGTTGTTAAATATGAGAAATCAGTATTGTTATATATGTTGTTAAATGTGAGTATCCGTGTTAGGTATGAGAAATCCGTATTGTATTGTTAAATATGAGAAATCCGTATTGTATTGTTAAATATGAGAAATCCGTGTTGTTAAATATGAGAAATCCGTATTGTATTGTTAAATATGAGAAATCCGTACTGTATTGTTAAATATGAGAAATCCGTGTTGTTAAATATGAGAAATCAGTATTGTTATATATGTTGTTAAATGTGAGTATCCGTGTTAGGTATGAGAAATCCGTATTGTATTGTTGAATATGAGAAATCCGTGTTGTTAAATATGAGAAATCAGGATTGTTAAATATGTTGTTAAATGTGAGAAATCCGTGTTGTTAAGTGTGAGAAATCCGTATTGTATTGTTCAATATGAGAAATCCGTGTGGTAAAATATGAGAAATCAGTATTTTTTAAATATGAGAAATCAATATTGTTAAATATGTTGTTGAATATGAGAAATCCGTATTCTTAAATATGAGAAATCAGTACTGTTGAATATGAGAAATCCGTATTGTTAAATATGAGAATTCCGTGTTGTTAAATATGAGAAATCCGTATTGTATTCTTCAATATGAGAAATCCGTCTGTAAATAATCGAGTCTGGACCAGACAATCCAATGATTGATATCGTGAGCTTTAATCCACGCAATTGGCACACGATGACATGCATCAGCCAAGTCCAAGTATATACCTTGACCTTTATTCTCAGACATGGACTGGCATAAAACTAAGTTATACTTTTCGAAAGGAAGTGCTTCTGTGTCATTGAAAAATGTTTGACATGAAAATTCATTAATTACTAGAGGTGGCATATTGCAAAACGCGGCTTGCGTGCGTCCGTCCGTACGTCCGTCTGTCGGCCCGTCTCACTCACTCACTCACTCACCCACCTCACCCACTCATGTTCGTCTCTGCCGATATTGGCCTCCATTGGGAGTCATCGAGAAACTTCTCAAAATTAAAGATCAATAAACATAAAGTTTCGTGAATTTCTGAACAACCCATGCTTGCCTTGAAAGGCGACTTAGCTTGTCGTAAGAGGCGACTATCTGGTTCAGGTGATGAGGCTCGCTGACTTGGTTGTCTGGCCGAGATTCGATTATTTACCGGCCGCCATCATGCAGTTGGAATAATGCATAGTGCGGCGTTAAACATAACATGATGACTGGACCGTGCCCCAAACACAATCATGACATATGGTGATTGTAATGTTAGGTAGAGTTCTGTTAACTAATTGTAAACATTTTAACTGTTCATGAAGTAATAACTTCCGAGAAGTCCTGGAATTTGAAGTCATGTGATCCCTGGTGAACTTGACCTTGATATGGAGGTCACCAAAACTTGATGCGAACGAGAAATCTAAGTTTCGTCAAATTTCAGTCTTAAATACGCACGTTACCTTGTACATGATAGCGTTGAAGCATAATACATACTGAACGTCGAAAGCTACATTTAATGTCATTCAAAAATATAATATCAGAGACGGAAGTATTCAGGCTTCCAGTGAAACATTGAAGCTACAGTAAAGACACTAACTATTACAAACGCAGTTCATTTCTGTTTATTTTGTGGAAATACCAACAAATATAACCTTACACTTATAGAATCGTGCCCCTCATGCCTGCGTGCCCCATAAAACATGTGAGCATAGTTATATACACTAATAATTAAGAGGCCCACGGCGCAGAAATAATTATGCAAGTACATAACTAATGAAATGCGTGTATATACATATCCAAAACAAACGATAATGAATGAAATGTCATACTATGGCATTAATGTGTTATGCAAATATTCTGTGTTCTTGTGTTGTTTTCAATATTCGAACTTAACATACATTCAATCACAGAATTACTGATTCATTACCTTAAATCCATCAGCACCAAGGAATGAAAACTTAAAAAACTCAACTTAAATACATTTAAACAACATAAAATCAAATATTCTTCAGCCTCCAGCTCTGCCATATGTAGGAATACTGAAAAGTAGGTCTGTGTGTCCTGGACAACAATGTCATGATCTGGCAGTAACGACACTCCTGATTGGCTATTCCTGGAAGGTCAAGGTGAAACTGAAACTGGATGTTTTTCAGATAATTCACTATTTCGGATGATATCAGCAGTTCAAGCAACTCATATTCACACCCCTCACAGTTGATTGTGATCAGATCTATGGGGTTTGTATACACATCAACACTTTTAAAGAAGCCCTTAGTTTCATGAATATAAGCAACCTCCTCCTTGGTTTTGCCCGACGCATGTTTCGCCCGAAATAGTGACGTGGCATCGTTATCTATATTCAGAAGTAAGGTCTTGTTCTCCTTGCCGAGACCAAATTTGAAAAGTTTGTATTTGGGATTATTGTTATACCGCTGTTCCAAAATAGTGTAATAACGGGGTACAGGTTCGAGAGCCAAATAATGGGGGTTGTATTTCTTGATTAGCTTAGCCGCATCTACACCAGTATATCCTCCGACTTCTAACACTCGACTGTCAGCTGTTAGATAGGAATGACTTTCGACACGATCAATCTCCATCTTGGGGCGATCTACGGACCAATATTTGGCCCTGAAACTGGCAAAGCTGGTCACGCATGTTGAAGTCCTAATTTCCTCTTCTTTGGTTTGTGAAATGTTGACGCCACATCTGCCCGAAAAAGTTCTTTGAGGTTCGTTGCTGCCCTGCTGTGCTGGCTGGAAGATGACGGGTGGTACGAAGACTCCTTGCCAGATGGCCAATGTCAGACCAAGAACTGAACACAGGAGGACAAGGCCAAGTCTCTGCAGGACAGCCGGTGACGTCATATTCGTCTACAAGTGAAAACAAATCTCATTCATACATAATTCAATTTGTAGACACATTTGGAACGCATGAGTATCGTTCTACGCCGCTTTCAGCAATGTTCCAGCAATATCACGGCGGGGGTTCTCAAAGGTTTTCACCACAAGAATTCCCGACCACCCCTGAACATATATGGAAACAACACGTAGGCAATGAGTAAGCTTTGTTGTAGCCTCTTTTCAGCAATATTTCATACCAGGGAGGGGCACCAAAAATGTTTGAGCATCGTGACCAATAACCACTGGGCTAGGCTACCCTGTGATCTGTACCAACACAAATGGTGGTTACACCCGATATTTGCATTCGTGACCAACTCGTGTTATTCCGGGACAAGCCGAATAGCGACTCGTGCCCCTCTCGTGCATTCGTCACCACTCGCCCCTTTCCGTAACCTGCAAGAAGACGCTTGTCCCGGAATAACACGGAGTTGCTCACGAATGCCTCTCGTGGCGATTTTTGCGACCTGGTTCCGTCTTAGCGCAACGGGCATACCTAAACCAATGGTCAACTCGTTGCGTAATGGTTCACACATATTTCCCCGTATATTAAATATATTTAAGATGCAATTTAAAGCACATCTGGACATGCGGAATTATACAGTATGTTTGAACACATTTAACTGTGCCTTGGGTATATATTTTTAGATGCAAGACATATGTAAAATCAAGTATTATTTCTGAGGGATTATTTGACAAAGAACTTGAAATCATACGATAGGGGGACGAGTCTTCTTGCAGGTTACGGAAAGGGGCGAGTGGTGACGAATGCCGATATTTGCACTGGTAATAGATTTGTCACACCATCGCTCATTTACGGCTTATCGCTTGTCTCATGTTACCAGGTATTGGTTTCGTCAATGCATTTATGTCAGACGAATGACCAAATATCATGTTGTGATATTCAATTTATATGACCCGTTACCTTTTTCCGCCAGTATATATAAAACATCTTCTTAAAGTGCAAACGCTGCATATTATCATCATGGTCAGTCCAGGTATATAAGTTACGTTGGAAGTATCATGAAAAACATTAATAGATTTGTCATACATCATTGTGTAGCCAGGATGTAGGCCAGGGATCATAAAACTTGTGTAAGGGCTTGTCACTGACGATAAAGGGAGATAATTTAGGGGTGGGTGGCTGGGGGGTAACTCTTGTATGACATCACTGCAGTAAATATCAAGTGTCGTGTTCACTGCAATGAAAATATCACTTTTCTAAACTTCAGAAAACTTATTCTTACACACTGAAGTATATAAAAAAAAAGAAGTTTTAGTAAGATGATAACTGGAATTCAAATATTGAACATTACAGTCCAAAGGAAATACGTACATTTTACAGTTAATTTCATCTTCTAACATTTGTCTAAAAATAAGAAATATAGTATACGACACTAAATCGGTCGATTTCGGCTGTAAATAATGTTCAAACATACATAAGATTATCAAAGGTTAAACATTTTTGTGGTGTAGATCCACGTATGATATGATATCTCTAAAGCGCTCGGTTCAAATTTAAAATAAAGAGGTATCTACTCTACGGTGGGACTACATCAAACATGTACATATCACATGTACATATCAATAGTTTAATTCATTGCGTGAAAAAATACGTATAAGATGCGCAAAATCTGTGTATTTATATTCAACAGACCTCCACCTAAACAAAAATCTAAATATGTACAACAATGTTTAAGTATGACATCACCATCAGTGACCGACTTTTAAAAATGGCGTGTTCATTGAAAGCAGTAGGCGGGATTCAGGGATTGCCCATACACAAATTTGTCATGTTAGTATTTAGGAACAAGCCTGACAAATCTGCGCATTGTTATTTCATTTTATGTTTGCCGTCACGCACAACCAAATCATTGCAATGTATGCATTTTATATTCCCTAAGTCTTGCTATACGATACACTTCCCATGAATATTCTTTAAAAAAATATATAGCCATTGTATGCAACGAATAGACAATGGATCTCTCAAAAGAGGAGAAAATGCTACAAAGTGTAAAATCTAAATTTTGCTTTGTTTACATTTAAAACAAGTAGGCCCTACAGTAGATCTACCCTTTTCCTGGAGCAGCAAATGATATAATTCACTATATTTCATCTAGACCATTTGTATTAGTGACAAAGACAATTTGTCGTTTGATGTTAAAGTGTATGAACACTTCTTACCATTGCAGCTAAGTGTGAAATATATGTGAAGCAGAAGGCGTCTCGTAACCGGCATACGCGAAACGGAATTTTGGAAGCACTATCCAATATGGCGGAATGTTTACTTTGGAGTGTTTGCGTATTTACTCAATCATGCTAGGCTAAACAATTCTAGGGTTATTGGCAACATTTCAGAAAGATCGCTGGTAGTATCATAAATCACAGATTACTATTTTTGTTATTGAATTTTCTGAGTAATCTATTAGATTTTTAAAATATGCGAAATAGCGCCGTGAATGTTGATTCATGCATATTTACGATGAGCCTAATATTTTCAGAGGTTGTTTTAGTAAGTTTGCGCTGCTTAAAATGACTAGCAGAACAGAGAATGTCCTTCAAAATTCAGAACTGTGAAGTTTATGTGTGGTCTCGATGTATTTTGAGTTTTGCTCAACTTCAAAATGAGGGTTGAATAGGAGCGACATATAGGCTAGCCCTGTATGTCCAGGTAAGAATTGCCATTTTATTTTGTATATAGAAAGCGTCAAATTCTGTTTTACAAATAGTTTTTTCATACCATGAACGAAAAAACTGAGTAAGATATATAATAATCAATATAACAATGACGTCTTTCTCTGACTTCGAGAAAGACATAAAAGAAACCAGGACGTCAAACGAAAAAGGTATCAAATTTTATGAAATCTTATTCAACAAACAAACACACAAACATACTATCCTACCACCCATTTCTCTAGAAAATGCTTATAATATAATATCTTGTTGTTTGGTCTGGAGCTGCATTACGTCATGTTTTGCCGACGCACTGGTCTCTTTACTGAAATCATTTAGCAAGTGAGTCTGGCCGTTCTGTTGTGATTTCAAATTTAAATATCCATGACCACCTGATAACTCCCAGTGCTGTATATAGTAGCTGAACACCGACCTTATACAAATTCTACAGACGATGTGTGATAAATAATTCACTGTTTACATACCATTACCCAAGCTATTATTTATTTGTTTTAGTCAAGGTGTGAGTTTGATTAACTTTGCAAATTGTTGGGAAGTCATTGGCATGTACCCCGATTATGACTGATATACATGTACGTGCGATGCCATCTTCCCGAGGCAAGAGAGTTAACTGACTATAAAAGTCCAGTTTCCACTCTTGCCGAACTAGGCTAGCTGGTATTATGGAGTTACATTTTGGCTGGACTTACGAGTCTATGCATAGTCCAATCAAAATCGCGCACCGATATCGAAATCCGGTTCGTAAACTGTCGTGCAGATTTCGGTTGATTGCAGGATTTGCAAAGCATGTGCAGCGCCAACTCGTTGTCAGCAGATATTTTCCACATCTTTTCATGTTTTTAATCATGGTGCTCACGTGATTTGATGCATTTCGCGATGTAAGTCCCGTTTTATCACAATATAGATCTTGATTATCGATCAGATCGTCCTGACTCGGCGCCACCATTTTGTGTTAAGCAAACGCAAGTGATGCGAGAGGTGGAATCTAATTGGTCCATAGGAGAGGCTTAGAAGGGACATAACTGGTAATAGCCACTGGTGGCGCTACGATCGAGCCCAGTAATTCCAGCCTAGATCGGCAAGGGTGGAAACTGGACTTTTAAAGTCAGTTAACTCTCTTGCCTCGTGAAGATGATGCGATGCGTGTGCGAGTCTAAGAACCACCACAAAACCCAGACAACTTCAACGTAATGGTTTCAGACAAAATACATTTAGGTTGACCAAAATATATCAAGTAGGGCTTGTAAAATATTATAAGGGCTTGCAACATGTTATGTTAACAAGCCCTCTTAGCCAGTTAACTTTGGCAACTATTTCATACACTGATGTTATAATAAATGTTCAAAGCTGCGTTCAATCAAACTAACCAAACATTAAGCCCCTCGGACCGACTCACCTCGGGAATACAACAAGCAGTAGAGTGATTGGTGTACAGACCTAGAGCTGCATGTCTGCCTAAAATGTCAGAGTTACCGCTGTGTGTTTGGGGATATAAAGACCTTAATCGGCTGATAACACCGAGATCGCTCCATACAACGCTGGTGTACTAGTTATCCATCCTGTTTAATCTATCACGACAAGTGAAAACATGTCACCTGAAACAGTCTCGTGTGAAGTGGGGTGTTCCATTTGGTCACTGGGGGTTGTAAGGTTTATGTCTTGAAGACAATGTTATCTTCAGCGGTGTGTGTGTGTGTGGCTGAGTGGCTGTGTGAGTGAGTGAGTGAGAGTGAGCGGGTGGGTGGGTGTCTACTGTACCATAGTGAGGTAAAAAAGAGACAAGTTTTTATCTATTATGTAAGGTAAACATTTATTTCAGTGAAAAGAATGCCACCATACATGGAGTTGATGCAAAATGTATTGATTCCGGTTGATATCCCTATGCCTTTTCATATAAAGACCTTATCTTTAGTCATTTAGGCTATACATCTTTCAAGCTAATTATTTCTCAAACACTTCCTCATAGGTTCAATGATAAAATCAATAACAGTTTGATAGACTGAGTGTAATGTCAGTGGCTACTTCAACATAACATTTCCTTCTGATTCATACAACTACAGCAGAAGTTATTCATCCAGCAGGTGCAAACAAATCTGGATTTGAAAAAGCTGTTTTACTAACACCTCAAAGTTTACGTTTTGGGGTAAATTTTGATACAACTAAAAGCAAAATGATTCCCAAAATATATTCCTTCTTGTAAGTGCCATGAGAATGTGAAACATCTGAACTGAGGAGTTGTCTCTTTAAAATTACATTATCTTCTGGTACAGACATAAGCT